ACCAACTCTTGATGAATGGTTTACGTCACACGTGACATTGATCCTATAACGGTGCAATCGAAGACATAATTAGCAATACAACATTCTCTTGTGAACACTGATATTTGTTGTGATGAAGATAATGGTTAATCTCTTAACAATCATGATAGTCCAGCCCTTGACTCTGATGATGAAATATTTTCTAATATTTAAGCACCCCAAAAAGACGAACCATTGGTTACAACAGAGCCAGTAAACATACAAGCAATCACATTGCGTGATGACATGCCTGGTCTTATTATTGATACCAATATCAACAATAATGTTAGTGATACTTATGTTCATCATCAACACAATACGCAACATCCAAGACATTTGCAAGACTATGAATGCTATCTATCATAAGTTACATTATTGGTTGAACCATGAAATCATCATCTTGGACTGAAGGATTCTCTATAGGCAGCTGCCATAGAAGAGCGATTAAAGGCTCTTCATTCAAACTAGACCTGTTCATTAGTTCCCTAACCACAAAATGTGAATATTGTTAGTTCAAAATATATTTGTCGCATTAAGCAACGTGAGAATGGCTCTATTGAACAATTCAAGGCTGGCCTAGTTACCCATAGTTTTACCTAAGTTTTTGGTATTGATTTCGATGAAACATATAACCTAGTTGTTCGCCACACTACAATTCGGCTTGTCATAACTCTTTACTTCATTAAATTATGCATGAATATCATAACGTATCATTCTGAAGACTCGATCACTAGATGTAAAAATTTAAAATAGTAAAAAACTTTGAGAATTGTCAACAATCTTTTTTAAGGTATGATTGGTCATTTAAAAATTTTATCTTTTTAATAAAACAATAAAATGGGTTTAAAGTTTATTAGAAAGATAATTTTGATCTACAAAAATAAGATTAAGTTTGGAGTCAATTACATATAAAAAATGATTAGCATCCCCACAGCGCTTGTAAAATTGATATCAATTAATTATGCGCCATTTATAATTTTTGACAAAAATTATTTTTATATGAAATTTAATTATAATTCTTTCTTCTTTTAGAAAGAAAATCAGTTAAAAATCTTTATTTAGGAATATTATCAAAATCTTTAAATTAACAAAACTCCTTTAAATTCTTCGACATAAAGGTAGATTTTAAATATAGTCTTTTCGTCTAAAATTTATCACAACATTTTTTAAAAATAATAAAATAACATTCTTTTTAAATGATAATTATTGATGACTCTTTAATATCTAAGTAGAGTACCAATAATTATATTTCATGAAATACTATTTTAATTTTATTTGTTTAAAACTATTTTTTTAACTCTTTATACAGTAAATGAAGAATGATATAATTAATATTAAGCATCAATAATTAAAATAAACAAAAATGTGCTTAATAGGTGTAAACATTAATATAAAAATGAGATCTATGCAAATGATGATAAATGCAAATTTAGGAATCAGGTTTTGAATATTAAAAAAATCACATGGACTCTCCAACCTCTAAGCAGAGTTAAGGTTTCACTTATGGTTTCGAATCTTAGTGTTTTATTTAAGGTTTTAATATTGAGGTTTTATTTAGGGTTTTAATTTTAGAATTTCAATTTTAAAGTTTTGGTTTTAGAGTATCAATTTTAAGGTTTCAGTTGTAGGAATTTTCAAAGCAAGCTTACTTTTTATGATTTTTAAAAGATGAATTTGTATATTTTTTACTTATTTTCCTTTCGCTAAAAATTTTATTATTATTATTATTATCATTTATTAATTAATTTTTATTATTTAATATTTTTTAATATCTAAGCAGAATTATTACTATTATTATTATTATTAATAAAATATAAATTTCCTCCAATATCTAAGCAGAAATTTGAAAATCATTTTTTACCTAAAATATTTAATTATTTTAAACATTATTTTTATTATACTATTATCTTATTATTATTATTATTATCTTTTATCTTTAACTGAGCCCGTACAATAGCTTTATACCAAGAGAAGACTAACATCCATGAATATTCCTTATTCAATTTTGGGCTAGACAAAAGGGAGAAAGATTGCATGACGATGTAATGGACACCTTAAATTACAAACATGGCACCTAGGCTATGGAATTTCTTTCATAACTTTCCACGACTATGAGCTCATGGCTCTCCCTAGACTTCTCTTTTCCTGAAACTGTTAAAGTATAAAGAACACACATTCTTAACCTAGAACCGAAAGCATGAAGAATAAGGGAGCAAAAGACAATGAACCAAAAAGGTTGGGCAAACCGAGAATTTAGACCTACATGAACACCCTCGACAACATGCATGCAATTGAGGATACCTTATGTTCCATGCAAGCAGTCCACACGCAAGGAAAGGGGACCAAGAAAACTAAGCATGCAATAGTTGGGAGCTTTGGGGTTTATTTAACAATTTTTACGTAAAAAGACAATGAGAATAAACTTGTTAAAGATCCTCGCCTCAATAGATTCGCCTAAGGTAGCCTGAACTTGATCTCTCCTTGTTCAAGCCCACCAGTTGATGGTTTTATTTGAATAGCCTTTGTAAAATCAGCAATAACAGATCAAGCTCTCATTGAAATGCATATGCAGTCCCTCCTCCTCACGTTTATGCTTTTTTTTTTTTTGGTCTTTGACGAGCTTCCTTTTTCTTTTTTTTGTTTTCTGCTGCTTCTTGCTATTGTCCAAAAACTCTCCTTCCTTCCAATTTCTTTGGGTTTTTTTTTTTTTTTTTTGCTACTCTTCTCAAGTTTTTCTTTACAAGTTTCCTACTGCTATTTCTCTTCTGCCTTTTTTTTTTTTTTTGCTTATGAGCTTTTCCTCACCCACCTGCTGCCTTCTTTTTTCCTGGTTGTACCTTTTGCTTTTGTCCTCTCTTTTATTTTTCCTCTACAGTTTATTTTTTGGCTGCTGCGCGTCCCTCCTCTGGTTTTCTGCTCTTCACGCCTCTTCTTGTTTCCTTGCCGCGTGCTTTCTGCCTGGTTACCTGCTCCTTTTTCTTTTCCTTTTGGTTTCTACCGTGTGCTGTCTTCCTTGTCTGCCTTATTATTTTTTTTTTGCTTCTGCTCTTTCGTTGCGTTTTCTCCTTCTGTCCTTTACCTCCGAGCTGGCTGCCTGCCCAGTTCTTTTTTAGTTTTTTGATGCAGGTTTTTTTTCCACGTTGCTGCAGTTTTTTCTTGCTTATTTTTCTGGTTATTTTTCCCCCCTTTTTCCTTTCGCCCAGTCCCAGTTTTGTCGCTGCTGCCTTCCAGTTTTCGGCCTCACGCCCCCTTTCTTCCCTCGTTGTTTTCAGTTCTATTCATTTCAGTTTCATGGACCCACGAAACAGTCATGAAATCATGCGCTCATTTCAATTTTTTGTTCCGTGTAACTTCATGTTGCCACGTCCTCTCTGCAGTTCTTGTGTCAGCTTTTTTATCCTCATGTATTGTTCTCCTATGCACATGCAGAATTTTATTCCCGTTTTCATTCATGTTTGCCGTAGCTTTCAATTCCCGTGCATGGTTCACCTCCCATGCATGGCTTCTCATCCATTTTTTTAACACGATTTACATGCATGCAACCAAGTGGGCTGTCTTTCTTTTTCATAGTTTGGGCTTCCTCTTCTTGTTTTTATTTTTTGGGCTTTCTCTGTCTATCTCTCTTTTTTTTTTTAATATTTTGTCTTTCTCTAACTATCTCGTTTTTCTTTTCTTTTGGGCTTTTCAAATTTTTGTTTGTTGGGGCCAAGTTTTGTGGATTTGTATTTATTAACTTTTATTTATTTATATTATCATTATTTCTTAATTTTTAAATTTGTAAATTTTTTAAATTTTAAAATTTTAAAATTAATTTAATTTTTTGATTAATTATTATTGTTATTATTATTTATTTTGATTTTTGCTTAACAACCAATAATTGACACTTAATGGGCTTTGAAAATAAACCGTTAAGCGAATCTACATCGAGGTCACGTCGAACCATTCAAGCATAAAGCCTGCAATAAGCTCAAACAATGATTACAATGAGACAATTTGATGTGAAGAACGCCTTTTTGCATGAAAATCTCAATGAGATCCTGCATATGGAGCAACCTCTTAGATTTTGTGGATCCACACAAATCTGATTATATATGCTTTCTTCACAAGTCCCTTTATAGTCTAAAGTAAGCTCCCCCAAGCTTGGTTTGATCGTTTACTCCGTTTCTTCTCCACCTTAGTTTCTATTACAGCAAGGTATTTTCTTTTTTATTTGTTTACCATCAAAATTTAGTTACAATTCTGCTTCTTATCTATGTAGATGACATATTGGTGACAAGAAACAATGACTTGTTCATCTTTAACCTAATTCATCAATTGAGCTTAGAGTTTGCCATAAAAGATCTTGGATCTCTAAGTTTCTTTTTAGGTGCTGAAGTTAAACACTTCACTGGAAGAGTTATTCTCTCTCAAAGCAAGTACATTAAGGATCTATTTTATCACACTGGTCTGGCTGATTGTGCTCCTAATGCTACTCTTACGACCCTCAAGGACAAGTCCCACGTCTCTAAAGAAAACCTATTAGATGCAACATATTATAAAAGTTTTGTTTGCGCTCTTCAATACCCCATTCACTAGACCAAACATTCAACATGCGTAAATAAAGTTTGTCAATTTTTAAACAATCCAACAAAATTACATCTTAGAGTAGTCAAGCGAATTTTTCGCTATCTTAAAGGCATACAAGACTATGGCTTACGGTTTATATCTCACAGTCCTCTCACCTTATATGCATTTTTAGACACTGACTAGGCACCTTGACACGACGAGGCATAATTGATTTTTGTGTCTTCTTACGTGCAAACTGAATCTCATGGTGTTCTAAAAAGCAACCTACTGCTACTCGATCAAGTTTAGAAGCAGAATACAGGTCCATGGCCTCGACTACTGCTGAATTAACCTGGCTCACATTCTTATAACGCGGCACTGGCATTCCTTTACTTCATCCTCCTTAATTATTTTGTGACAATCTTAGTGCTCTTCTAATGTCCATTAATCCCCTTTTTCATGCTAGGACAAAGCCTATTGAAATAGACTACCATTTCGTCCAAGAAAAGGTAGTCATGGGTAATCTCATCACACGGTTTGTGCCATCTTCGCATCAGATAGTAGATATCCTAACCAAGTCGTTGCCAAGGGCACCATTTCTTTTCCTTCGCAACAAGATGAGACTCCATTTACACTCCGTTTCCACCTTGAAGGGGGCTGATAAGGAAGCAAAATCAATCAAAGAAACAATCTTTGTTGAAAAACAGGAGAATCGTCAAAGTCAAATAAAATCATTCTCATTAACTCATGCCTAAAATTAAGGAGTTAATGTAGTATACTACCTGTACACTTGCCATTTCTTACCTCTATTTTCCTGCATATATATTTGCATTGTATTTGAGTTTTATTCATTCAAGAATCAAGAATACAAAAGATTGTAGAGTTCTATAAACTATTCATATGTTCTTACTCGTTTCAAATTTTTTTGCAATGACAATTCAAAACTTTCTTGACAAAGGAGAGAAGTTCCCACAAATAATGCTCTGGTTTTTGTTAAATTATTATTACTAGGCCTAGCTGTTTATTTGCTTTCAGGGTCGTTCAAGAAACTGGGAGATCAGGAAAGGTCAAGCAGCTACCAGGACCCCGTGGCTTACCCCTGGTGGTCTACCTCCTAATCCTCGGTAGAAACACTCACAGAACTTTGATGGAATTGGCCAAGATTTATGGTCATCCAATTTATAAACTTTCGCTTGGACAGAGACAATGTGTGATAATAAGCTCTCCATACTTGGCAAAAGAGGTGGTTCATGATCAAGACATCGTATTTGCCAACCGTAACCCAACAATTGCAGCATTGGCTTTCTCTTTTGGTGGAAAGGACATTGCATTCTCGCCTTATGGGCCAGGACAACGAATGCTGTGCAGGATATTTGTCCAGGAAATGCAGAGTAAAGCAAACCTTGATGCTTTTTATGCCCTTCGGCAAAATGAGGTTAAAAAGAGTGTTAGAGATGTGTAAGGGAAGAATCGAACGCCATTGATGTCGGAGCGTTGGCGTTTTCGACAGTGATCAACATGATAACTAACATGTTCTGGGGTGGCACGATTCAAGGAGACAAAGGAGCTTCTGGCATCAATACTGAGTTTCGAGCAGCAGTGTCAGAACTCCTTGTTATATGGGGAAAACCAAATATTTCAGATTTCACCCCGAGTCTGGCTCGTTTTGATCTATAAGGATTGGAGAGGGATATGAAAAAGGCATCCGAGCGGATAGAGCAAATATTCGATTTCGTGATCGATCAAAGAATGAAAAAGAAAGAGGAAAAAGGTCAAGGTTCAAAAATGAAATTAAATGAGGATTTCTTGGATTTCCTCCTCGAGTTCAAAGATGACGAACCTGGACAGTCACTTTCACGAGCACAAATGAAAGTCCTCCTTGCGGTAATGTTTCTCCCTAGCTAATTTCAACTCGTAATTCCATTCTCATTAACAAACGAAAAAAACAAAAATTCTACTAAATTCAAAGTGTCCCAGACTCCAAGTAATCTTTTCATTCCGTCATTTCCAATTCGTTAAGAGGACATTGTAATTGCGGGAACCGACACAACCTCGACTGCTTTTGAATGGACAATGGCGGAGCTGATGCTACACCCAGAAGCGATGAAGAAAGTGCAGGAAGAATTAACAGAAGTGATTGGCGCTAACAATATTTTTGAAGAATACCACATTTACAAATTGCCTCATTTGCAAGCAGTTGTAAAGGAAGCATTAAGACTACATCCATCAGCTCCACTGCTGGTACCCCGTTGCCCGACCCAAACTTGCACTGTGGGCGGCTATACTATACCCAAAGGTGCTAAGGTTTTTTTGAATGCTTGGGCTATGCATAGGGATCCTCAATTTTGGAGCAATCCTTTTGAGTTTCATTGGGGATGCTAATAACTTGGATTATTCAGGGAAAAATTTTCGTTATATTCCGTTTGGGTCTGGTAGCCGAACATGCGCAGGGCTTCGCTCGGGGGAGAGGATGTTAATGTACATATTGGCTACTTTCTTCCATATGTTCGAGTGGAAAATGCCAGATGGTGAAAAACCGGATACTACGGAAAAATTTGGGATTGTGTTGGAGAAATTAACACCGCTAATTGTTATTACAGCGCCTAGATTGTACAACTTAGAGCTCTATGAATAGCAGTTGACGCTTAATGGAGATGATATATATATATATATATATATATACTTGTATTTATGTATATTATAGTAATGTATCTAGGATTTCAAGTTAGAAGAGGTTAAAATAAAATAAAATAAAATGTATAACCTGAAATTTTTAATTTAGTATATAATATATTATTATTTTATCAAAAATTAATATATATGAAATATAATATTTCATATATGTAACCATTAACAATATACATAAAAGAATTCAAGTATTGAAATTTAAAAAATATAATTATTAAAAATCCATGATGATATTTTACGAAAAGAAAATCTATTGGGTATTGTTAAAATCATATCTAAATAGAACATTAATAACATACAGCTTGTTTTTTTTTTTTTTTTCATTTTCAATATGGAAGTTTGGTATGTTATTAATGTATAAACATAAAAGATAGTATTTCTAGTCAGCCTTTGAGATTCAAGGCCACGGCCCACATAGAAGCAGCGATAGCGGCTAGGATTTTTAGTACCTTTATCAAGTTGGTGTTAAGTTTTAGTTAGAATTAAATATGCAAAAATGAAATTGTCAGTTAAGTACTAAACTGATAATATATATAATACAAGAACTAAATGTGTATTTATCCTTTTAATTACAATCATTTTATCAAAGTTGGTTGAGTTGTACATTAATTTTATTACGTTGAGATAGATCTATTCAAACTATTTATTCAATAACTTCGAAAGATAAGTTACGCTAAAATTGGAAGTTAGAAATATATATATATATATATATAAAAGTTGTAAAACTATATTTATTAAGTTAGAGTACATAAAATCATTATTTATATAAATTATGTAAATAATATATGAAAAAAATAATGAAAGATGTCAATGATTATGATTGATTACTTGATTTTAAACATATTTTTTAAAATTAATTATTGATTTGTCTCTAATTATGAGAATCATCTACGAAATCTTAAGAAATCAATACTTTCTAATACTCTCTTTCAACTTGATATGTGAAAAATTAATTAGAGTGTTCAATTTGAAAAAAAAAAATTATAAAAGTCAAAATTTAATGAATTTTTACAAGAAAGATCATTAAAGAAAGAAAATTTATGAAAAATGTGCTCCATCCATTCTGCTCTGACATGAGGAAGGAGATGTTACACTTTTGTAAGAACGATTTTGTAAAATAAATATATGAACTCTCTCTGAGCTCGACAGTTGAATAACTAAATAAACATTGAAAATTAAAACTCAAAATGTAAAAAGATAAAAAATCCATCAAAAAAATATTGGGATAGGCAACATTATTGCCAATAAAAAGGGTTCATTCAAAAGCTTAAAAAATGATAATGAGAAAAAAGACAATGAGTTAGGATCAAACCTGATATCATATTAAATTTAAAATAAAAATTACTTGCGAATGAAATAGAGTAATAGATCAAAAGGTAAGAACAAAAAAAAAAAAACACGGTTTGCTCTTGTTCGTTTACATCTAAGGAGAAAGCTTACGTTGTGAATATTTTGATTTTTATAAAAGAGGTACATAATATATGAAAAACAATAATAAAAATATATTAAAAGTTATAACAGTTGATTTTAGACAATTTTTAAATTAATGAATGATTGCTCTCTAATTATCAAAATCATCCCGTAGTTGCAAATCTTAGAAAAGAATACGATCCAATATTTTTTCTCTCTCCTTATCTTCTTTCAGCTTTTTCTTTTAAATAGAAAACATTAACATAAACCAAAATGTTTCTTTCTTTAGAAATGCATTTTTTTTTTCATGAGACCTTCGAACGGCACCCCTCCCATCCCATTGATGCAATGGAGGTCACTGTCCCAGGCCATAAGTTTTATTGATTGCTCATTAACCCCATTAAAAATATGTTCTATGTAGAAGAAATAAATAGTAAAAGCATTTAAACATGTAGGTAAAATTCAATCCATGGTTCTGATTATGTTACGCGATTTAATTTTGATTTCTTTTTTTAGATTTTTTTACATGTTTTAATCTTGATAAAATTAAATAATCATAAGGCTTCTCTGAAAGATTTGAGACTCTCATTTTTCAAAATTAAATGAACAGTTCTATTGATGGTAAAATGAATATACACAAATAAAATTTATTGTTATTCTTTAACTGTTAAAAATTCTCATTACCCGCAATCAATATACTTTTTGTTTTTCTCTTTTTTTTACCAAATAATATGCTTTTTTTATTACAACTCTTTTTCCATTTTGGTTCAATTTCAATCTCTGTGCTATGAAGCTTTTATCTCTATGAAATCCATTTTTTGGTGAAAAATTCGACCACTTTCCCAACTGAAGTCTACTGTCTGCAATGTAATTATGAGCTCTCGAATCATAATGGTGCATTCTTTTACGTTCACATATATTATTTTCTTTTCGAAAAAACCCTAAGATTGATGGAAATCCGGAAAAAAATTTATAGGCAACTTGGAATTGAAACTTTATTGCTTCCGATATCCTCTATTCCATTTGCTTGTTAAAGAAAAGAAAATATATAGAATCCTACCATTCAAAAAACCTTTTTTAAGACTGGCAGATAACAAGCCTATCATGTTTATTTTAAGAAACAACATCACAATTTAAAATAAGGAACAAGCAAGACGTCGTCAATGGATTATTAATGGAGATGAAATTAGAGCTTTCTATTAAATTTGATATGTTTTTAAATTTTAACATTTATAAATTTTTTTATTCTCAAATTTTAGTCGCTTTTGAAAAAAACAACCAAAATCTGCATCGAAACCAATAGCTTTTATACTTTTAATTTTGAGACCTTTTGATTACTGTGTCAGAAATTATACCAGTGTCTTCCATTTGGATTTTGTATCAGATAGGCAAATTCGCACAAAGACTTCCACTGGCAGGGAAAATGTCAACGTAAGTCAGAAATTAAACTTTGTAATTATCCAACCTAGCTTGATAGATCGAAATTTATAAGATAAATTATAAAATTTATATTTGATATATTATTAATATATAAATTTTATATATTATTAATAAATTAAATATATTATTTTATTAATAAATAAATATTAATTTTTAAAATAAATATATAAAAATTAATATTTTTTAAAATTTTATTTATTAATAAAATGATATCATGTAATTTATTTTATCAATAAAATGATATTATTTTATTTATTGATAATATATAAAATTTATTTAATAATAATGTTTAAATATAAATCTTAAATTATAAAAAGATTTATAATTTGAGGCTGTATTATGAATAGGATGACAGAAAAAAAAAATTAAACTTATGCACGAGGAAAGAAACTAAGGAAAAAGCCTTTACTTTCCCCATTTGTACCTGATGAGCTTGCCCTGCGAACTAGGAATTGATTGAGCGTTTGTAACCAATTTGGATTTTGGATTTTATGATTGGCTCTTTAAATGTTTCAACTATTTCAATTTGATTACAATAGGGTTAGCATTTTTTTTTTTTTGTATTTTCTAATTAATGCTATCTGACATCAGGTCATTCATGGAATGACCAATAAGCAAGGACGCTCTCTCAAATTTCCATAATTGGTGAGGCTCTCCGCTCATGCTCTCACATTGCGGACGTTATCTGAGTTTTTTCTTTAATAAGGTACTTTAAAATTTTTATTTTCAAACTAAGATACTTTTAAAATGTATTTTAATCCATCTAGACGTCATATCATTTAAAAAAATAATAACAAATTTTAAAAATAATTTTAGTTCTTAATAAACATTAAAAATTAAACAATCTGATTCTTTCTTTTTTTTCAACCCTAAATATATACAAAAACCTCAAGTAAGAAATTGATACGGTTCAATAGAATTCTTAGAACAAAGGAATGAAAACAATAGTTGCCCAACCCAACTACCAAAGACTAATTATTGTTCAGTAGAATCAACTAACTCCTTTTATCAGAATTAAGCTTGCATCAGACATGTAGAGATCATGTCAAAATCTAAGCTAGCGCAAGTCAAAGCTTTCCTTTTAGTTTTCACCGCTCAGCTTCTTCAATTTGTTTCTTTTTTTTTTTTTTAATTTGTATTCAAGAAGCCAAGCTACTCTTTGTTATTTCAAATGATTTATTTACCAAACAGTCATTTTGACCTGTTAAATTTAGAGAGATGTGGAGGGTGGATAGGGAAAGAGAAGGAGTGCACCAACTAAAATTTTAGATCTTCTAACATGTAAAAGCCTACAAATTGCAAATTAGGGAGACGGAGAGGAAAGATTATTTAAGTCTAAAACCAGAAAAATAAAAATAAAAAATCGAATAAAGAAATTTTAGGGAAGGGATGATGAGATTGAATAGCTAAAACAGAACAATATTTTTTCTGTAGGTGACGAATGAGTAAAAAAGCACATATTATTGCTTTGAATAATAGTGAATGATGATATTTAAGTCTTTATCAGAATGAACTGAACAAAAGAAATAATGAGTTTGAGAGAGATGGAGACAGTTATAGGAAAGAGAAAGGGGAGAAGAGTATGGTTTTAAGTTTTAAACAACTAATTACAGTTTTATAAAATGGAGGGCTGACGTGGAATCCAAATATACAAAAGTACCTTGCTTTAGGAATAAAGTTTAAAATTATTCCACTTTAGAAAATAAGATCATAAATCACCCTGGTTTGGGAAAAAATTCGACGTTGTCTAGTAGTACAATTATCTTTGAGGTCTCCTATAGTACAATAATCTTTGAGGTACAGCCATATGGATGAGATAAAATTTATAAAAAGTTTTATTATGGAGATGGTGAAATTTTTTATTAAAATAAAATAAATAAAATTTTGAATTGATAAATTAATAAAGTTTAATATGAAAATTAATAATTTGTAAAAAAAAAATATTAAAAATATTGTTTATAATTTAAATTTGATTGATATTTATTTAATAATAAAAATTTTATCAATATTTTTATTAAAAATATCTATTTAATAAATATATCAAAATTTATTTAAACTTTTTAAAATTTTATATGTTTAATTTATGTGATGAAATCTTTTAATTCATCAATTTTAATTTTTTTATTTTAATTTTTATTTATTTATTTCTAATACGAAATTTTAAGAACTCCATTTATGAAACTTTATGTAAAATTTTCTCGTATGGATTTCTCTTCCGTTCCATAATTGTTAGTGAAAAAAATTGATTTTAATGTATTTAACATTATAATTAAATTTTTTTTATAAATTTAAATTTTATTATTTTGATATAAAAATAATTTTAAAATATAAAAATAGGAATTTTAAATATTCATAAAAAACATAAATATGAGACATTTCGATTAAAAAAAGAAAAAGACAAAAGGAACATCTCACTTGTTATTTCTTTATTTATGCAACTTATTCGAAAGATACCCAACGATACGAATGTGACCCTTACATCCTTTGGTAGCTCATCGGAGCCTTTGAATGTGGCCACTGTTAAAAGCCCAACACACAATGTGATGTTATGTGAAGTGATTGAGACAATGCAACCTCTAATTAATCTTGCCGGGGAAGCCCTTGAATAATTACTGTTTAGATCTCTGACTATTCAGAAACTTGGATTTCGGCTTTACGTCTAGTTTTTTTTTTTTTTTACTATTGACATAGACCAAGTTTTTATCCTGCTACTTCATATATGCAGATTCTACCCCACAGATAAACATAGAACTAGAGTTTCATGCTGAAGCAGCAGGCCTGCAGACAGGTAAATCCTTTTCAGCATTGGGTGGAATCCGAAGAATTGGGTTGCTCTCAAAGAAATTAACTGGCTTCAAATCAAAGCTTGAGGACACAGTTGGCATAACAGGAAAATCTTCTTGACACGGTATGTGATGGAAGCCTAAAGTATACCAGAGCACAATGTCGTTGTTCTCAATTGATCGATCCCTGCAAAGTTCAATCACATTGGAAATTAATGGAAATGAATACTAGCTATGGGACATAAATCAATTTTAACTTGGAAAAGAACTCTAAATCAAAATCATTATTTTTACCTATCAGACCAAACGGCAAGAGTATCTTCACCCTGGCTCTGGTAAACAAATAATCCACCAGCCCATTGCTCTCTGCTGTTATATGGAGTGACCCATATTTGGTTTTTTGTGAATGCACCTCTTCTCTGTGGTGGTCTTCATGATCTAGCAAGCTAGCGGCAGTGCCACCAGGAACTACCTTGTATCCAACGGGGTTCCCAACCCTTGTCTTCTTAGTTGGATTGATCACATGGAACTCAGATGGGTCATAGAGTTTAAGCTGAACCTGTGCATCTTTCTCTGTTTTAGCCACATTTCTAACAGCTTTCAGATAGCTTTTTCTTGGTGACTCTCCAGGGGAGGTATCTTGCCTTTTGATATTTACTTTAACAAAGGAATTATCAGGGCCATCAATGTCCATATCCAAGTAGAATGTAATGAAATGATAATGGATAACGCCAATATCATTTTCAGACAAAAGGGTGCCAAAGAGATTTTCTTGCCCTTCCACTTGGTTCATATTCTCATAGCTTGTCCCTTTAACCATCAAAATGCCACTGAGTCCAACCTGCATGTGGCCAGTAGTTTTGAAAAATTAGAACAGCCTCAAAAGGCTAGCAAGGAAAGTCCAACTAAACGAAAATTTTAATGAATATCTTCGTCAAACATTAGAGGCACATTTGATTGAAAATATCCATGACTAAATGATTGACGACCCAATGCACTTACTTGAAAAATAAGACTTTTGAATAAAACAAAGTTCACTAACCTTAATCCTGATTAGTCCGTCTGTTTGGAACGCCCAATCAACAATATAATCATAGTTAGCAACCGATGCAGCCATTCTAACCACTAATGTCACCTTTGGCCTCACTTCCTTAATCTGCCAAAACAGAAAACAAAAAGGTAATGCTGATAATCATGATCACTTCTACTATAGAAATTGAACTATGAATAAATTAATCATAAATAAATATATATATATTTAAATATCGTCTTAACTCAAGATATTAATTAATATTTTTCTTCTTTTATATGCACAAAAAAAATATTTAAGAAATTGAACCATGTATAAATTAAAGATTTTGTTAGTGTTTGTGTATACGTGTGTGTGCGCGCGTGTATATATATATATTATGACACCTCTTAAAAATTAATTTTAAATATATTTTTAAGATTAAATATATATTTTTAAAAAAATTATTATATAATTCACTAATAATATATAATATATATGCATATATTAACTGTTTATCAAAAATAAATTCATATAGTAATCCTAAATAAACAAAATTGCGAACACATCAACAAAAATATAAGATTGTTAGATACACTGATATAGTATTAAAAAATCTACATACCCCACGCAACAATCACAAAATAAAGATAAAGTAGTAGTATTACAGGTAGTGTAGTGCTATTAAATTAGAAAGGCACATATGAAGACCCGACAAGTGTCGGACTCAAATATTCTTACCTCCATACCCGTAATTGGACTCTCCGCATGCCGCCACCCTATATCACCGGTGTAGCTCTCAAACACGCAGATCATGTTTGATCGAACATAAGGTACACCATCACCGGCGGCAAACACCCCAGGTCAAGTGGCATAGCTTGCAACCCGAATCCGTATTCACCCGCATCCATATAAGTCTTGAAATACCATGCATCAGTGGGGTCCATGTAAGGCACAAATAATTCAGACGTAAAACCTTTGTACATCATATCCCTCATCACCCCACTATCCGGGTCCCCGACCTTAGCTCGGGAAACCACCACACCAGCTCTCGGGTCGGGTTTCAAATGGAATTCCCAGTTTGCCCATTTCACCAAATGTTCATCTTCAGTAACAAAACTTGGACCCTTTGGCTGTTCAATAGATATAGGGTTTATCAAGTTGAAGCTTCTGTTCCGAGAAGCGATAATCCGTGTTCTTGGCTTTTGGTATCGGGATAGCCCGACCCGTATCCGATATCTCCACCACTTCTTTCGTGTCCATTTTGAGTAAAACAGTTAACCCTTCGATTGGTCTCATGTAAAAGTTTGCAGTATCTTTCATGGAGTAGCACTGTACCTTAATTAACCTCCTGTTCTCCTCGTTTTCCCCGAACCTTCCCAACGAAATCGGTAGGCACGCCACGTCTTCAAGATAACGCCTCGTTTGATGATCGTACTATTGAACTCGGCGTTCGAAAATGGAGCCCACGTGGCCGATGTCATGTCCTCTATCGTCATCATCGGGTAACCGGTGGGAGGAGCCGTGCTGAGGACGTTGACTTCGTTAGTTTCCAAGTTGACTGTCAGCACGTGCGACTTGCCGTTGGAACGTGCGATGACGGAAGCTATTCTATGAAAGAGTGGTTGGCCTTCTTCCCAATTAAGGACAAGGTCTTTGTCGGGTTCTTCTAAGACGACGGAATGAAGTGCGTAGTTTTTAGAGGACTTGAAGAGCGCGTGGGAAGACAGGATGGTGCGAACCTTGTTGAATTCTTGGATGGTGAGAGGGTCGAGTGGGTGTCGAGGGACGGATGACTCGTGGCGAGGCTTGGAGGTGGTGGCACGGGACGTTTTGGTGAGTCTGGGTTGTTTGGACTGAAACCGGTTCTTGGATGAGGTGCACCAGGGGGAGTCACTGGCGCAGTCGAGGAGGGTGGTGGCGTCAGGTGGCGGACCATAAGGAGGACGAATCCAAGTGAAGAGGAGGAGGAAAGCTATGGCGACGAAGAACAAGAGGAAACGAAAGAATGGTTGTGATTCCATGGCTGTTGTTTTTGTGAGTGAAAGAGTGAAAAGTGTAGCTGATAAGCCTGTTTTATATAGAAACATGAAATGCTTGAATTTTGACAAGTTAGCAATAGTATGCAAACGTGGCTTTACGTTTTCGGTCCGAGTTTTAAAAGTTTTTGGGCAAGTTAGTAGAGTTTTAAAGGTGAAGTTTGAAGTGTCTTTTTTTGTTTTCAAAGTCAATGTATAAAGATTAAAATTAAAAATCTAAATTGATATTGTTACATAAAATAAATGTATAAAATTTTATTAAATATTTTTTAAAATTTGATAATATTTTAGATAAATATTTTTATTAAATTTTAATAAAATTTTTCGATTAATAAAATTTTTATTATAAAAAATATTTTTAATAATTTTGATACATCATTGGCTTTTATTAAATTCTATTAATTTATCAAATTTAATTTTTTAAGTAAATTTTTATGACATTATTTTAAAAAATCACGAATTTCAATTATATATCTTGTCCAGTTTTTTGTGCATGTAAGATACTCTCTTCCCCCTTTTTTTTTTTTTTTTCACAAATGTTGTTGGGTTAGTGAGTTAGTTATGAAATTTTATCAGATACAATAGTGATAAATCAAAATTCAGAAGTCTTCACCCATTTTAATTTGGGACATAAATTACTCTGCGTTTTTTTTTAAAGTTTAAATTACCCTTTGTTTTAAATGTTTGTAGTACTTTAATTCATTATTTTTTCCTAGACTGGCAGCTCAAAATAAGGTTTAGATCTAATGACCCACTTATATATAAAAACCAATCTATGCAAGAATGAGTAGGAATATCAGTTACAAGTTAATTTATAACAATTCTACTAAATATACATGGTGATAGTATTTATTAAATTAAGCATATTGATCGAGTTCTTATTTTACTCTTCCAAAAACACTGTGCCAGCCCAATATGCTTTTGTAACGTTAAGTCATATCGGGATACAAAATTTAGAACTTCAAATATCTTTGTTCATATATAGTTATTGTCTGTTTTGTGGGTCGCTTGGTAAGTGGAAGTTGCATGGAAATTTACATGTGTTTTATTTCAGGTGTAAACCCCACTAGTCCCAATTGATTCTGGGACTAAAATATCAGGCCATATTAAGGCTATTGAGATTCTCCATATTCCTTAATATTTATGGGTCTCCTCCTGCAGGCATGAATTGCGATAATATGGTGTGGGAGAGAGGGGCATGTAGCAATCGAGAATCAAGACCTGCAGACAGGTAAGTCTTTCTTAAAGGCTGGGGCAGCTCGAAGAATTGGATTGCTTTCGAAGAAATTGGCAGGCTTTAGCTCAAAGCTTGATGTCACTGTTGGCATTACAGGGAAATCTTCTTGGCATGGAATGTGATGGAATCCCATGGTGTACCACAACACGATATCCTTATTTTCAATAGGACGATTCCTGTTCTCAAACATGACGAATTGAGCATAAATCAATGGCAGAACCAATGCGTTAAAATATTTTATTAATATTTTGAGTTTTATACCTTTCAGACCACACGGCAAGAGTGTCATCTCCCCTGCGCTGATACACTAGAAGCCCACCAGCCCATTGTTCACTCCTATTATAGGGGGTCACCCATATCTGTTGGATTTCCCAGCCTAGACCTTCTAGAAGGATTAATCATATGAAATTCTGATGGATCATACAACTTAAGCTTAATTTGTGCATCTTTTTCTGTCTTCGCTATTTTCCTCTTAGCTTTCAAGTAGCTTTTCCTAGGGGATTCACCTGGTAAACTCTCTTCCTTAACGAGATTAACATTAACAAACGAATTATTAGCCCCATCAATATCCATGTCCAGGTGAAAGATAATGAAGTGATCGTGAACTACTCCGATAACATTCTCTGAAATAAGAGGGCCGGACATTTCTTCTTGGTTAGGCACCTGATATACATTCTGATAAGGACTCCCTTTCACCATCAGCATTCCTGAGAGTCCTACCTGTTAGTATAATAATATAAATTAAATCATATGACTTGGATCAGTAATTACTTTAGGATCCTCTAATAGAATTCCAACACTATTACTTAGGGAATAGTAGCATAAAAGAATGACCTTAATCCTAATTAAACCATCCGTTTGAAACTCCCAATCGAAGATGTAATCGTAATTTCCCACTGATGCTGCCATACGGGCGACCAGGGTTACTTTTGGTCGTGTCTCCCTAATCTACTCCAAAGACAAAGGAAATTAACTTCTGTAAGTACATTAATAATTGACCTACAGAAAAATTAAAAAAAAAAAAAGGACAAACAGCGAATAAAAATACTACTACTTGCAGGAAGACCAAGTACAATAATTCAAGTGCTTCTTTTTTTCTTTGTTGAAAATAAAATGGAAAATAAGTAACAAATAATTTTTTTGTAAACGTGGGAAAACAGTGAATTTGCTAATAATTGCAGACTGAAGACTGATAGAGATTCTTTGTACTAAAAGAAAACACGGTTGGAAATGATAAAAAGACTCCCAATAAACGAAGAAAATTTTCATTTCTTTTGAATATTCTACGAGATTGACGTTATATGGTAGCCCAGATCGTTGACATTTTTGCACATATGAAAGTTACTTGATGCTGACACCATATGAAACTACAGTAGTGATTGATTTTCGTATTAGTAAGAGCTAAGGAAAAATTAAAAAAATAGCAATACGAAACCACGCTTCTGAATGTACTATATTTTTTCTAATTCTCATTGCTGCTATTGTTGAAGTTACGTACCTGAAAACCACTAAGCTGGCTTTCCGAATGCCGCCAACCAATGTCACCAGCATATCGCTCAAATAGGCAAATCATGTTCGGCTGAACAAATGGCTTTCCATCCGGAGCCGCAAAAACCCCATCCATGTAGTAAGAGTACCTTGGACAATCGTTTAAAGGCACAAGTGGAAGGGCTAATGTCCCTAACCCAAACTCACCAGCGTCCATATACGACTTAAAATACCAAGACTCGTCGAGGTCCATGTAAGGCGCAAATAATTCTGAAGTGAACCCTTTATACATCACATTCCTGAGCTCGCCCGTCTCCGAGTCCCGTACCATGGCTCTTGAAAACACCAAACCAGCGCGTTGGTCAGCCTTGAGGTGAAATAGCCAGTTGGCCCACTTAACTGTATGCCCATCTTCAACTCTAAAACTTGACCCTTTGGGTTGTTCTATGGAAATTGGGTTTAATGGTTCCATTTCTGGTTGCTTCTCTTGAGCTGTGTACCGGTAATCAGTATTGGCACTTTTTGGAACCGGGATACCTCGGCCCGTATCAGAGATTTTCAGTACCTCCATTTTATCTAAGTCAACCGTCAAGGTGAGCCCTTCAATGGGCCTCATGTAGAAGTTGGATGTGCCTTCATTAGAGTAACACTGGACCCTTATGACTCTTTTGCCTTCTTCATTCGTCCCAAACCAGCCTGCCGAAGGCGTTAGGCATATCAAATCTGATAATGAGACCCCTCTGGCGGTCACGGATTTGTTAAATTCTGCGTTAGAAAAGGGCAGTTTGGAAGCACCCAAAATATCATCCATGGATAGCATCGGATAGCCTGAGCTGGTATTGATGGCATGGCTAATGACACGGCTAGAGTCCAAGTCCACGGTAAGCCCGTGGGATTGGCCATTCAACAGAGCCGAAACAGCTGCTTTTCTTGGTGGAAGTGGGTCACCTTTTCTCCACCTCAGAACCTGTAGCTTGTCTGGTTCATCAAGCAGTAAAGTGTTAATAGTAGGGAAGGTAGATGAAAAGGGTTCATAGGACGAGATGATGGTCCGGACCCTGTTGATTTCCTGTATAGTAAGAGGGTCTAGTGGATGGTGAGGGGACTCAGCTGAGTGGTCTGTCGATTTGTGAACTTGGTTCTCCAACACTGAGCTCCCCTTGGAGTTGGAGAAAATCCGGTTCTTGGAGGTGCACCATGGGCTGTGCAGGGAGCAATTAGGCAATTCTGATTTGCTAGGGCTGTACCAGGAACGCACAAAAAGGAATAAAATTAAGCATGAAATGAGACAGAAATGAAGACATGAAGTTTTCTCCATCATCTCCCTTCCAAGAAAAAGTGAGGGTGAGACAGCCTCTATTCCTGTTGAGTGTTGACAATTGAGCTTTCCAAGGGCAAATGATAGAAGGTGGTGAGGCCGTCCACAGAATTTGTCGAATACAGGAAGAAAACTCTCCGGATATTTTAGTAGACATGAAGTTTTCTCCATCATCTCCCGTCCAAGATAAAGTGAGGGTGAGACAGCCTCTATTCCTGTTGAGTGTTGACAATTGAGCTTTCCAAGGGCAAATGATAGAATGTTGTGAGGCCATCCACAGAATTTGTTAAATACAGCCAGAAAACTCTCCAGATATTTTATATGTTATCGTTTATTACAATGCAGAGGGGAAGATTACTATCAGTTTGTGACATGACCGTCCATTAAAATTTTAGAAATGAAGGACAGTGACCGATGGCTGAAGGTGATTTAAGTTGAGTGGGTAAGCTATGAATCTCGTTTTCTCAAAATAGAGTATTGTAAAATTTAAATGTTGGTTTGATTGAATCTTGACATTTCGCGGTGGATAATCCCCTATGATTCAGACAAAAACAAGAAACAAGTAGTAAATAAAATAAAAACACTAACCAAATGGAGCTTAAATAAAATAGTGTCCTGTTTGTTAGGAAAATAGGATCCAGTTCCATGTAAGTAATTTTAGATCAAATAAAAATTATGGGTCTTGATCTTTCATTTTACACAGAACCCTAGCTACTTAAAAAAAAAATGGGGTTGTTTTAAGGGTGAGTTGAAAACCAAGTAAAAAAAGAAGAAAAGTCAGAAAAAGTAGAGAGAAAAAAAAGAAGGGAGAGTTAGTTGAACGAAAGTCGATCCATGATCTGATTGAGTTGGAACATCGTCAGGAGGTTTATGATTCATAGTTTTACATTCTAAACGGTGAAGATCGGTATATAAAGTTATTCTACATTCAAACACCATGATAAAATTGACAATATCGAATTATTCAATTTGAAAACCTATGATGGAGGATCATCTATACTGCAAATATTTGTATGAGCCAGTATTGGGTGATTCGACTAAACCAGCAGATATGAAAGATGAAAGCTGGAAGAAGCTAGGTAGAAAAACGCTGGCTACAATCAAAAAATGGGTTGATATCAACGTGTTTCATCATGTATCGCAGGAGTCAGATACTCACATTATTTGAGAAAAAATTGGCAGCATTGTATGAGAGAAAAATAGGTATGAATAAAGTTATGCTTGTTAAAAAGCTTGTAACTTTACAGTATAGGGATTGATGATCTGTTACAGAGCACTTGAGTGATTTTTAAGATATATTTAATAGGATGACTACTATGGAGCTTAAGATGGATGATGAAATGAAGGCGTTATTTTTTTAGGTTCATTGTCAGACAGTTGAAATACTCTAGTTGTGACTGTTCTTAATTCAGCTCCTGATTATAAGGTGACATCAGAGATGATAAAAGACAGTATACTTAACGAAGAAGTAAGGCGAAAAGATGTAGACCCTGAGAATCAAGCTCTGGTCACAGAGAACAGGGGTAGAAACATCGACGAGGTTAGGACTCAAAAGGTCATTGTAAGTCTAAACATAGATCCAAGTCTAGAGGTAAAGTGAAATATTTCTATTGTGGTAAGATAGGTCATATAAAATGAAACTATAAAATCTTGAAGCAAAAGCGAAAAGATAAGAAATGCAAGAGTTCAGATGATGGTAATGTTACAATAATGAATTCAGATAATGATTCGGTTACTTTGATTTGTACACATGGTGATTGTAATCATGTTAGTGATCCCAGTATTGAGTGGATAGTTGACACAGGAGTGACATATCATTGTGTTTTTAAGAGAGAGTTGTTTACAACTTACAAAGTATGAGACTTTTGTTGTACTAAAATGAGAAACAAGAGTGTGTCATAAATTGTTAGGATTGGTGATATTATTGTACAAACTAGTACAAACTGCATGTTGACTTTGAGAGATGTCAGACACATTTCAGATATAAAAATGAACTTGTTTGCTATTAATATCCTTGATAAGGAGGGATATGAAAGTCGATAAAAGAATAGACAGTAAAAGCTTTTTAAAAAATTTATGGTAGTTAGAAGGAAAAAACTATATTGTATAATGTATAAGACACGGATGCAATTAAATGGTAACCAGGTAAATGTCATTGAAAATGATGCTTCAACAAACTTGTGACACAGGAGGCTGGCATACATGAGTGAAAAGAGGTTATAGATTTTAGTAAGACAGTCTCTTATTCCTTTGACCAAAGGTATGTCTCTCGATTCATGTGATTATTATTTATTTGGTAAGCATCATAGAATTTTTTTTCGTAAAAGTTCTAAAAAAAAAATAAATTGAAATTAATTTATTTTGAGGTATGTGGTCCCATTGAGATTAAGTCATCAGGTGGTAACAGATATTTTGTTACTTTTATTGATGATGCTTCACGTAAGACTGGGGTGTATATGTTAAAATATAAAAGTCAGGTACTACAGTATTTTTAAAAATTTCATGTCATGATTGAAAGGATGATAGGGTTACCCTTGAAGTGTATTCGAACTGATAATGGTAGGGAATACACATCTAAAAGCTTTAAAAAGTATTGTTCAAAGTATGAAATCAGGCATAAGATGACAAAACTTGGAACACCGTAGTATAATGGTATAGCTGGAAGAATGAATCGTACCATTATGAAAAAAGTCAGATGTATATTGAAGATGGTAAAATTACCAAGCCATTCTGAGGTGAAGCAGTCAACACAGCTTGTTACTTACTTAACAGGTCACCATTAGTTTTTTTGGGCTTTGACATTCTAGAAAGAGTGTGGATAGAAAAAGATACTTTATACTCTCACTTGAAAGTTTTTAGTGTAAAGCATTTATACATGTACCGAAAAGAGCAGAGATCAAAGCTTGATAGTAAAGTCATACAGTGTGTGTTTGTAGGATATGATGATGAAGAATTTGGTTATAGGGTATGAGATCCAGTAAAAAAAAAATAGTCAGAAGTAGAGATATGGTCTTTCATGAAAAAAAAACTATAGTAGACCTTAAAAAAAATAAGAAGACTACACGAATTACTGTTAAGTATGATATTTTAATATCGATAGAGATTCCACAGGAAAAAGCCACAGATGGTGAAAATGAGTAAGAAACAAAACTTGGGGATATGAATGAGTCAACATAGTTGGTGATGAGCTAAATGCAATTAGTTTTGAGCAAGAGAGCAATCTTTCTACCTAAGAGTATTGAGTAAGGGGAGCTACTTTCGATATCAAATGCTGTAGAGTTTGAACCCAAAAGATCTACTAGAAAACGCAGGCCATCTACCAAGTATTCCAAGTTTAGATTTTATTTTAGTTATCATGTGAAGGAGAGTCAGAAAGCTTTCAAAATGTACAGACTATTTCGGATAGAGAGCACTGGTTAAAAGTAATGAAAAAAAAGATTGAGTCATTGTAAAAGATGGTACTTATGATCTTGTTAAACTTCCAGAAGAGAATAAGCCATTAAAAAATAAATAGGTGTTCAAGTTTAAAAAAGATGATGATAAACTAGTGAGGTACAAAGCTCGATTGGTAGTAAAAGGTTTTTTTCAAAAACCAGGCATCGATTTTGATGAGATCTTTGCTTCAGTTGTAAAGATGAGTTCTATTCGAGTGGTATTGAGATTAGCAGTTAGTTTGAATCTTGAGCTTGAACAACTTGATGTTAAAACTGTATTTTTGCATGGTGATTTACAGAATGACATTTATATGAATCAGCCTGAGAGTTTTGAAGTGAAAGAGAAATAGCACTTAGTTTGTAGAAGAAAAGCTTGTATGGCTTAAAACAAGCTCTACGACAGTATTATAAAAAGTTTGATTCTTTTATGGTGAGTCATAGTTATAAAAAAATAGCAGCGAATTCTTGTGTGTATGTTAAACAATTCTCTAATGGTAACTTCATTATTCTATTATTATATGTTGATGATATGTTGATTGTAAGACAAGATGCTAGTATAGTTTACAAGTTGAAAGAATAATTATCTAAGTCATTTGATATGAAAGATTTAGGTCCAGCAAAGCAGATTCTTGGTATGAACATTATACGGGATAGAAGAGCTGAAAAAGCTATGGTTGTCACAAAAAAAGTATGTTGAATCAGTGCTTAGTAGATTCATCATGCAACATGCTAAATTAGTTAGCAGTCTATTTATCAATCATTTTCATCTAAGTAAGAAATCTTATCCAATGTCTAAGGAAGAACAACTAACTATGTCTAGTATTCCTTATTCTTCTGTAATCAATTTTTTAATGTATCTTATGATTTGTACAAGACCTGACGTTGCTCATGTAGTTGGTGTAGTGAGCAGATTTCTTTCTAATCCAGGGAAGATTCACTGGGAAGCAGTGAAATAAATTTTTAGATATTTGAGGAGTACCTAAAAAATGTGCTTGACTTATGGAGTTTCACAACCAGTTCTAGAAGGGTTTACTGATACTGACACGACAGACGATCTTGATGGTAAAAAATCTACTTCAGGATATTTGTTCACTTTTACAGAAGAAGCTGTATCTTGACAATCTAAGTTACAGAATTGTATTACTTTGTTAACTATAGAGGCTGAGTATATTACAGTAACCGAAGCATGTAAAAAATGCTTTGGATGAAACATTTTCTTCTTAAATTGAGGTTGAATCAAAAAGAGTATGTGATATTTTGTGATAGCCAGAGTGCTTTAGATTTAAGTAAAAATGTTATGTACCATGCTAGAACAAAGCACATTGATGTTAGATATCATTGGTTACGTTCAGTGATTGAAGAATATCAGATGCTGTTGAAGAAAGTCCATATTAATAAGAATGTAACAGATATGTTGACTAAGATACTTCCCAAAAAAAAGCTTAAGCTCTGCAGTAACTTGACGAGAATGAGTTTTCTAGTCAAAGTAAGTTCCAAATGAAACTGCTATAGTGATGAATCTCCTCCTAATGGGGCTGGAGGGGAAAATTGTTAGAAAAATGGGGTCCAGCCCCATGTAAGTGGTTTTGGACCAAGTAAGGCCATGGGCCTTGATCTTTCATTTTTCACAGAGCCCTAGCTACTTAATAAAAAAGATGTGGGGTTGTTTTAAGGGTGAGTCAAAAATCAAGCAGAAAAAGAAGAAAAGCAAAAAAAAAAAAATAGAGAGAAAAAGGAGAAGGGAGAGTTAGTTGAACGAAAGTCGATCTATGATTTGATTAAGTTGAAACCTTGTTAGGAGGTTTATGATTCAGAGTTTTACATTCTGAACGATGAAGGTCATTCTGAACGGCGAAGGTCGGGTTTGAAGCTCTCTAGGAACAAATTCATGATATATTTGTTGAGTCACTTATTTGATGAGATTTCTCCAATTGTTTCTCTAGTTGTTGTTTAGCTCTAATTTTAGTTAGAGAAGAACTTTATATACCTATTATTTGATAGTGAAGATTTTTCTGGTGGTCCGTGATTTTTTTCCTCTATACTGAAGGGTTTTTCACGTAAATCTTAGTGTGCTTTATTTTTCTTGCATTTTTAATTATTGATTGTTGTCTATTACTTCTGTATTATTGTGATTATTGCTTCAAGCGCAACATTGTTTACTTAACTTTAGTTATCCTGAAAAATATCTGATTTGAAGAGTAAAAAAAAAATTATTTATTTTTTACTCTTTAATTATGATTATTCATTTTTGTCTTCTTTTCCAAAGCAAGAACAATTCAAGAAAAACATCTTGTAATTAACAAAAGTCAAGATTCAAATTAAAATTTCTTAAAGTTGATGTAAACTCAAACTAAGACGTTATATATGTGACGAAGAGATAAAAATAAGTAATAAAATGAAAAAGTCATACAACCAACTGTGGATTTTTTTTCCTTGAGTAGAACCCATATAATTTCAGCCTTCTGTGGCCCATCTAAGAACTCTAAATTGGATCTTTTGCATCTTACAACAATTGGGCTCCTATTGCAAGGAAAGGGAAGATTTGGCCTCTTCAATTGGTTGTTTTTGTTGCTGTCGAAAGCTGGAAACGACCTGATATAATATTCACCATTGATCCCTGAATCTTCAGGTAACTTGGAAACTAGATATATTTCCTTTCATTTCCATCATAAAGCAGCAGAAGGAGGAGATGATTTTTAAGATCAGCGAATGACTTCAACGGAATAGAACATATTGTCATATGCCACTCAATGTTATGTTAACTAAATAATAAGTAATAGCAGAATAACAGGGAAGTGAATTTGGGAGGATAAAATTTATCCGTGGATTTCAGCGAGTGGTAGCGCATAGCAATTACTGGCCTGACCACCGATCTGCTTTCATCAACTGGATAAATTCAGTACCGTTCTATTTCAGACTTTAGATTTTGTGTAAATGCATGATATTGAATGAGCAGTTGATTAATTTAGTTGCAACTTGTCTGCTCACACCAGCTTTGTAAGCATAACAAGGTAAGCTGATGGAAATGGGCATAGAAGATGGTGTTTTGGTGTCTGAGGACGCTGGTGATAGCAAGGTTGCTGGATTGACAGTGATGAGGATTTCAGGGCACGTTCTAACACTCAAGCCAACAACGAGAGAGAAGAAGAAGATAGCAGGAAGGGAGTAGTGTTCAACATAGTTTTCAACCCACCTATATAGTTTTAGCATGCACTTAATTTTCAAGTTTCAAAGGTGCAAAAGGCCATATTGAAACATGGTTTTTTTACCATTTGAATGGAATAAAGTTTGATTATAATGGGTGTTTAGGATAAACAAACGCCATAATAAATCAAAGAGATTAAATTACAACATTCTTCACTGAAAAAAAAAAGGGAACCAGTAATGTTGTGAAGAGAAGCAAAGTCTAAAACCGAATGTGACGAATACAACCCTTCATGTTTTCTTCAACTGTAATATTCATGATGAAACTTGAATGAGTTTGGTGGTTCTGTGTGATTAACAACTCGCAAATTTGAGCCATCCTACCTTAAATTAGAAAACAAGATACCTTATTAGCCCTTGCCCACTTTCCAAGTTTCCTTTTCACTGTTTCAACTGGAAATTTTTCACTTTCCAGATCTCCATATTAATCTTCCTTGCATTAACTGCTCAAAGGCAGTCTCAGATGAAATTCAAATAACCCAAGCCAAAGCCCCTAGAATCAGAAAAATAATTTAATCCGAAACTAACATATAGAAAAAAAAAAGATTTTCTTATGATATCAGGCTTAGATCATTTATAAAGCAGTGAAATGGCAACTGAAATCTGTTGAATAGCAAGAAATATTTTTCCAGGATATCAAACTTGCACCTACTCATCATGTCTCCTGATCTGTTAGGTAAAACCACCGAGGAGGAGAGCTTATAAATCCAGTCTCCGGGAAGTAGCCAGCCTTGTTAAAAAAAACATGTCCAAATATGATTTTCTTGTCTTTCCAATTTTCAAATATGAGCATGATTACCTCCTAATTATACAATGCTCTGATGAGAAAGTTAGTCAGGATTTAATTTTCAACGTAATATTGACTATTCAGATTCTTCAATGATCAAAATTAATATACCTCTAGAGATTTGCTATTAATAATAATCATTCTAATTGTTTTTGCTTATTAATTTAATTTAGACTATTTTGAGATTCAAATAACTTGATATAGAACAACCTAATCGTGCTAAACGGCTTAAAAAATAAATACTTTGCATGTTCAAAATAAATTTCTACTTTCAATTTTTTAATAAAAAACAAAGCTAATTTTTATTTATAATAATATCATATGTAAATAATATTTCAAAAAATAAATTAAAAAAAAATTCTAATCTCAAAATTTTTAAATTTTAATTTCAGATAATAATGTTAAGTTTGACCTAAAAATGCAAAAATGAACATTTAAATTTGAATTTAAATCCAGAGAGAGTATTAAGTTAACAAGATGAAGATGAAAGAAATCATCCAAATTCAAATTTATGCTGTCAACTAATTCTGCGAAACCAGTCAAATCGCTAAAACGCCTAAATCCATCGCCACTCGCTCACACTCACATTTCTATGATGATAATTTCCCAATTACCCTTTCCCACCACCTTCACTTCCGCCAACCAAACCCTTATAAACCCCGGCAAATTCCCCACTCCTGAAAATAACCATCAGCCTTCCACCTTCCTCCAGCACCTCTCCCTTTCTCCTCCTCTACCGCCGCCGCCACCAATACCAAAGTTTTCCCATTTCCATCCCCAAATCAGAACCCCTGATCCAAAAAATCCCATCTTTCCTTGTTCCCTAAAAGCAACGAGGACAAATGTCGCACCTTGACAACATTCCTTCCACTCCTGGCAAAAACAAACCCGACAAGTCTTTCCGTTTCTATTCCTCCGCCGCCTTCTTATCTCTTTCCAAACTAACCCTTTATTCCACCCTTTTCCTTTCCATCCTCCTTATCCTCCTCCTCCTCTCCTCCCCTTCCTCCACCCCATCCCGACGCCGTCACCTATCTACTGGGACCCACCACACCCCAATCTCTATTCCCTACAAACTAATCCACAAATCGGCCCGTCCACGCTCTACCACCGGCCACACCGTTCTTGTGACCGGAGCCGCTGGCTTCGTTGGAACCCACGTTTCCGTCGCCCTCAAACGCCGTGGCGACGGTGTCCTTGGCCTCGACAACTTCTACCATTACTATGATCCCACCCTCAAAAGGGCACGCCAAAAGTTCCTCGAAAAAGCCGGGGTTTTTATCGTTGAAGGCGACATCAACGACAAGGGTCTTCTCCACCAACTCTTCGACGCCGTTTTGTTCACTCATGTAATGCATTTAGCAGCCCAGGCAGGTGTTCGTTACGCTATGCAAAATCCAGGGTCTTATATTCATAGCAACATTGCTGGGTTTGTGAACTTACTGGAAGTTTCGAAATCCGCAAACCCTCAACCGGCGGTTATCTGGGCGTCTTCGAGTTCGGTCTACGGGTTGAATTCTGAGGTACCCTTTTCGGAAAAAGACAGAACTGATCAACCTGCGAGTTTATATGCTGCTACAAAAAAAGCTGGTGAGGAAATTGCTCATACTTATAATCATATTTACGGGCTTTCAATAACTGGATTGCTGTTTTTCACGGTTTATGGCCCCTGGGGTCGACCTGATATGGCATATTTCTTTTTCACTAGAGATATAATGAAAGGAAAAACGATTACTTTGTATGAATCACCAGATAAAGGTAGTGTGGCTAGAGATTTTACTTATATTGATGACGTAGTGAAAGGGTGTTTGGGGGCATTGGATACAGCAAAGAAAAGTACGGGAAGTGGGGGGAAGAAGAGAGGGCCAGCGCAATAGAGGATTTTTAATTTGGGGAATACTTCGCCAGTACCTGTGAGTAGGCTGGTGAGTATATTGGAGAAGATTTTAAAGGTGAAAGCTAAGAAGAAAGTAGTGCCTTTGCCAAGAAATGGGGATGTAGAGTTTACACACGCCAATATTACCTTAGCAATGAGGGAGCTTGGGTATAAGCCCACAACTGATTTGGAGGCGGGGTTGAAGAAGTTTGTTAGATGGTACCTCAGTTTTTATTTGGGGCAAAGAAGAATTCTTGGTGAATTTTCTTAATCTTTTTTCTTTTTACTTCATATTGATTACTTTTATTGTGTTCTTTATGAGGTTTAGGGTAATCATGCAAGGAGGGGTAATGTTCCATGGAGAACTGTTTTACTTGTCGGGTGGGCATTTTCTCACAGACATTTCATCCAATTTGTAGTGATGCAAAACTAGCAGCATTCTAATTGTTCTTCAACATGTTGCTTCCTTTTCTTCTTTGAAGCTTCTCTTGGAAGTTTAAGCATTGTACAGTTCATGACTGATAGATCAACATGATGTTCTGATTTCTGGGTCATTTTTTAATTAATCTTATAGTTATTTCAATAAATTAGCATCTGCTTCAATGTGCTTGTTATTATAATTCTTGTAACCAGAATGTTTTAACTTGTTTGCTCTATCTTTGTTGTTATTATAGCTCTTATAAGTTATAACCCTAATTTCAGCTTGGGCTATAACATTTACTTGGCTTCTGGAATGTTTATGTTGTCTCTAATCCCCTGCTGTAGCAAACACAATTTGTAGTATGAAAAAACTCTGTATAAGCCCGTCTCCATAAAGTTGCTGTAAGTTTAGAATAAATGGTATCTACATGTTTGCTTTGTCCTTTAGTATTTAATACTTATGCAGCTAGGCTTGCCATTGATCTGTTAATTTAACATTTATTTGTCCATTGGATTGTCAAACTTTTTTTTTATCTGTTAGTGCACGGTCATGTATTGCTTGCAGGTATAGACTCCTTCAGAGTCCTCAGTCCTCTGGTGATGTTTAAATTTTAGTAATGTTTAAAATATTTAGGGGATTGTTAAGAAAATTGTTATTTTTTTAGACACAACTTGTAAGGGTATTGTTTATCAGTTATCACTTATCACCTTGTTGTGAAGATAACAGCTTATACCTAGGAAGTTTCCTTTTTTTTTTTTTTTTCCATTTTTTTAACAGAGAGATGTAATTCTTCTCCTTGGTTATTTTAACTTAGATGTCTATATGTCTAAATTGATATTCTGGAAATAACTTTGGTTTAGATTTATTAAAAAGTTGTTATATGCTTGCTCATTATCCATGTCTATTTGTCACGCCAAGCACTCCGAGGAAAAGTAGGCAGGGTACTTAATCCCACATTGGATATGAAAGGGAGGTCACTGGGATATAAAAACATTGTCGCTACATATCCTGATAAAGTCGTTTTTAAGGGGAGAGAGTAATGGCCATGTGACAAGTGGTATCAAAGCAGATCTTACATCGTTCAACCCACACTAAGCGTCTCGAGGGTATTAGGCAGGGTAGTCAACTTCTCTAATAAAGACGTCACGAGATTGGGTGGGAGAAAATATCACGTCAAACGCTCCAAAGAGGAATAGGCAAGGTAATCCAATCCCACATCGGACATGAACTGAAGATCACTGAGGTATAAAAATATTAACGTGATAAGTTGGTTTTGAGTGAAGAGGATAATGGCCACATGACATATTCATATTCATTTTATCTGCCTATATACTTAGTGGATGCTTACCAATTGATTCAATGAATTTTTTTTTTTTTTTGCAGTGCCATATAAGGGGTGTTTGGTTGGACAATATTTCAGATTGACCTATTATTTCTTTTAGCCTTAAATCTGAGCATAAAACCAGAATGAATTTGGAGAATAAATGGAGGAATGTTAACAATTCATTATAATGATGGGTCGGCAGGTGACGGTTTGTATCTTTAGATAGCAGCCATGGTATTGTTCTGACAACATTAGCAGTTTGGTTGAGTCTCTTTATCTCTTTATTTATTTATTTATTTATTTATTTTTGAAGAATTATCTCTTGATCCTTGAAACCAATTCATACAGTTGTTTCATGCACAAGAAATTGTGTAAGCAAGGAACTTGGAATATTGACAAGCCTGATTAAATGGATGAAAAGGTATCAAGGAGTTCATTTATTTTAGCCAAAAATGCATCATCAAGAACACTCTAACAACGAAAAAAAGGGAGCATTAATAAGAGGATTTTTAGTAACATCTACCATTAGTTCTTCCACGTTTCATCCTTGTGTACGGATGAACATAAGAAACAAAAATTTTGCATTTTATGTACTTTAAACCACGGAAAAGACATACATGCCATGCTTAGTCAAGTATCAAATTTTTTTTTAACCCAAGACACATATCCTAACGCTGTAACTATTCACTAAATTTGGCATCATGTTGCAGCAGTCATTGTGTACATCTTTCTCTTAACTAGGTATTTGCAATGGAAAGAACTGAAGAGTTATAGGCGCTATAGAGCAGAATAAGCTTATAGCAGATCAAAGGAATGAATAATAACTAAAGGTCAGACATATTAAAGAGATTAGAGATTTAAATACTCGCAAAGTTACAATATATACATGGCAGATGACAGAAAGGAACCATCTGAACTACATCTAAAGATAGGACAAACAAGAACCAGAACGACAACGCAGACAATGTCAAATCAAAGTCAATGACTAAATCCAGTGTTTCAGCTGATCAGCCACATTACCTCTAACAAAAATTGAATCCAGGAGAGGATACTTGATAGCAGCTTTTTAAGTTAGAAAGTCGGGGACAACATCTACATTGTTATTGCGACTGGGAAGAATTGAAATCAGAATCAGAGTCCAGCTCCCACCATGGACCAGAATCTTTCGTACAAATACAATCAGCATTACTTCCATCATCAGTGCTATTAAAATCCTGATCCTCGCTCTGATCATCGAACACATCTTCAGAACCATTTAACTTCCCGTCTACCTCTGGATTATATGTCCACTCCAATCTCTTCAAGATATCACGGTCCTTCCACTTCCCCACAACGGATACTGCCTCCTTCTTAGCCTTTCCCTTCAATATTTCCATCCAAGAAAACCCAGTATCCGCAACTCTTTTCAATGCCCCATCATTGAGATCCCCAACAACAACGGTCTTCAAACACCTCAGTTTCGCCTCTTTCAAAACTTCCACAAAATCTGAATCATCGGACACAAGCACCAAACACTCAGCTTTCCTCTTATCCATAACATTCACCATGTGATCCCTCAATGCAACATCCGCGGCTTGTGGCCTATTTGAGACAGTCCCAACCCAAAACCCTGCCCTTTTCAACTCAGCAGCCAAACCATACCCAACTTTCGGTGTCAAAACATCCCTAGCCGCATTTTTATACTTCTCCATTTTCATTGAATACTTACCTACCAATTTCACCCTCCTACTTCCTCTAGCAGATTCTATTTGATTCAACCTCTTCTGGTGTTCACGCTCATGAATTTGCTTAAAATGATTAACAAGTTTCTCATTAGTGTAAAATCTTCTCCCACAAACTTTACAAAAATGTGGTTCAACTGACTTGATCACACCCTTATTTTCTAACTGATTCAGCAATTTCCTCTCTCTTCTCTGTTCCCGAACAACTATAGGTACATAGCTGAAAGCATGATGATTAGCATAGGCTACCATGGACCTAACAACCCCAAAGGAAGAAGCTGCCGTTTTCAACTTAACAGCAGCTTCAAATGGAGGGAATGAATTTGGGGGCTTGTTATCCAAATCCCAGAATATTGCAACATTGTTCTGGGCAGTTTTTGATGCCAAAGTTGATGTTCGGTTTAAAGATTCAAAACCCATTTTTGTCTTAAAGTGACAATATCTAGACAAGGAGATACTTAGGGTTTTAATTCTTGTAGATTGCATTGAGTTAATGATGGTAGGAAACTTGTGAAGCATGACTGAAAGTTGTAAGTGACTATTTGTGTTGATGGATTGTGAGAAGAAACATGAAAAAACAAAGGAATGGATGAAAAAGATAATTAAAAAGAAATGGAGAAATTGATTTGCCTTTGAAACTAGAGAGATTAAAGATTGTGTCCCCTACATAGAAGATAAGCAGAGAACAAGAGAAAGTAGAATGGAGGCCCGGACGTGGAGTGAGAATGGAATATAAAGGGTTTTCGGGTACTAGGAGAGGGTTTTCGGGAACAACTGTGTGGCCAATTAAAGGGCCCAAAAATAAGTAAATGAAACAAGGCTAGCAGTACAAGAAAGCCCAAATATTCCCCATCGATAAGAACACATGTCAAACCTGTCATGTTAGGTCAAGACTCATTTATGGTTAGTTTGTTTTAGATTTTTTAATTAATATTTTAGCTTTATTGATTGGGAGTTTAATACAAATAATTTGTTTTTTTAAGAGACTGATTTCAATAAGATTGGATTTTGATTCTCACCATTTGTAAATTCACCTTTTTAATTTCCCCCTAAGCCTTATATATTTTTGTTAAAAAAAAACCATTTTTATAAATTAAAATTAATATTTTTTTAATTCTACAAGTAAATTTATTTGATTAGAAGGAAATATAATTTTAATCTCTAATCTCTAAACATTTATAGTGAGTAAAATATTTAAATGTTTGTTTGTATGCTTGAAAAATATAAATCTTTAGAAGGTTGTAAATAAGCTAATATGTATGGGGTGAGAAAAAATCAATAATTAATTTAAAATTACAATGTTCAGTTTGATTTAGATCAAATTAAATTCAGATATTAAAAATATTATATTCATATCAAATTTTGGATTCGAAAGTAAAAATTTAAAAAAAAATTGAACCAAACTAAATATATATTGTTATTAATTTTTATATATTTTTAAAATTTTTATAAAATAAAAATAATTATTTTTGTCTAAATCTATTTAAATATATTAAAAATTATATTAAAATAATATATACAAATGTCAAATTAAAAAATTGATAACTCAAACCAAATTGAATTAGATCTATTATATAAAAGTTTGATTCGGATCAACATTGAATTTTAAAAATTCATAATTTTATGCAATATCTAAAAAAATTAAACTTAATTTTATTTTATTCCAACTGTTATCACCTATACTAATATGCATAAAAACAAGAAAGTAGCAAAATATCTTTATTAAAACAATAATAAATAAATAAATTGTTATCACTATTAGGAAGCAATTAGGTGGGGAGTAGAGAAGTTATCAATAAGTGAATAATTTTCCATAAGAAATATACTTTCTTTCTTCTCATATTTCATATACCTTTTTTTACTTGATAACATGTTAGTTTATTTTATACTTTATGTTAAAATTTTTAAATTAAAAAAAAAAGTTTATAGTTTTATAATTTTTTTTTTTTACTTCTACCCTATCAATTAAAGCAAATGACACAAACTCATGACTAAATATTTATTCAACCTACTTGCACCAATTCATTCTTATTCTTAATTTGATTTTTCATCCTAACAAAGGGATAGAGATAAGGTCATTTTCTTTTGAGGAAATTTATTTAACTTGTTTAAATGTTGACAAATAAAAAAATGATTGAATTATGAGAGATGCCAACTAATCTAAAATGCACCAATTTGGTACACAAAAGTTATCCTGCGCACCCCCTTGAGAAAACGCTGACCAGCTGTTGAGAAACGTTTCTGTCAATTGACTGTTAACGCCCAGCCACGTGGTTTCTCTCGTCTTCTCGTCAAAATAAAATTGAAAAGAACAATTAATACCAGAAAGAAAGGATAAATAAAAAGAGAGAGAGAGAGAAAAGAGAGAGAGAGAGAGAGATCGTTGATCGATTTAATTGATTGGTTCAAAAATCAAAACAATAGAATCGAATGGAATGATTGTAGAGTGAGTGGATTCAACAATGAAAGGCGTCTTCTTGGCGCCCGGAGATTACATCCACTTCAAGTCCCAAGTCCCTCTTCACAAGATCCCTGTAAGTTTTTCTTTTTTTTTTGTAATTTCCTTTTTCATAATTTTTATACAATTTCGATCATGGGTTTATTGGTTTACGCTTATTTTGATAGTGGGTATGTTTTTGTTTTTGCTATGGTCTATTGTTATGTGGGTTTTGATGAGAATTCTAATCGCAGAATCGGAAAATGTTGTTCTTGGGTGAGCCTAGAATTTGCTTAATTCTATGCTTTACTTAATATAGTTTATAATTTATTCTGGGGTGTGAATTTGTTTCATCTGTGAATGTCCTTTTTGTAGTAAGTTAGTGATCCATATGAGCTCAGATTTTTACTTATTTGGAAAATTTTGTATTGGATTTCAATTTGATATCTGAAGTATTGGTTCTGGCTTATGCTAATTATTGAATTCTTATCTGGCGAGATTTACTAGTTGACTTTGTTATGTCACTGAGGATGCCTATATTTGAAAGGTTGTTAACCAGTTGGTAGATGTCTGGTTTCCCCTGTGCTGGAGTTTTGTTATTATTATTATTATTTTAATTATGCTTATGATTGTGGATTCCTTGTCTTCAATATGGCGTATCATGGAATCTGTCATTAAGTATATTGCTGGTCATGAAGGTACATTCTGATTTCTGATCAATGTTATGTCCTTTTTTTTCCTTCAAGTCTAGGATAGTTGACCAAATCTTTTTAGTTTTTGCATTGCTTAGCATGAATCTTGAAAAGAGACAGAGCACATCTCTGATATTACTTTTATCAATTCTGATGAATCTTATTTTTGGAGCTTCTTGTTTCTCTCATAGATTGGCACAAAGCAGTGGCGATATTATGATTTTGGTCCCAAAGTGGTTCCTCCACTTATATGCCTTCCTGGAACTGCTGGGACAGCAGATGTCTACTACAAACAGATCATGTCCTTGTCCATGAAGGTTGTAATCTATGTATTATAGTATCTTTGACAAGTTCTCGGTGCATTTTTTTTCCTTTTTTTTTTCTTCTTTTAGCCCTTGGAAGAATTCCTGTGGGACCTGACACAGGCTGTATTATCTCTCCAAACCTACAAGAAAAATAGAAGGAAACCTCCATAGGCTATCAGTTCTTGTATATGGCTTTATTCCTGTCCCCTTATTGCTTTCAGTATTATGATATACTGGATGTTTTGTGGTTAAGTTTTTTGTTAGAGAGTTAACTCCTAGCAATTTATGAATATTATCTCTTTAATAAGTAGAGTCGCTAATTTCTTATAACCACTGCCAGCCTGAAAGTTCCACATAGCATTTATTAGTTGGTGGAGACATTATATTTATTCTGTGTAATGGATTATTCAAATTATTATATGGTTTATTACCAAAAATCATTTGGACTACTGTGAAGAATTTTTACATCTTGTTAAGTCTGATAATTTAAATTTAACAAATGTACAGGGTTATCGGGTGATTTCTGTTGATATTCCCCGTGTTTGGAATCATCAAGAATGGATTCAAAGTTTTGAAAAGTTCTTGGACGCCATCGATGTTCACCATGTGAGAACTTAATATATTTGTGGCCTATCCTTAATTCCTTCCCTACTATGGCATCTATTTGTCCTTTTCTATGGATATTTCATATTTATTATTCCTATTATATGTTTCTGAAATAAAGAATAGGCTACCTACATAAAATGAAACAATATTTTGCTCAATTAGTTTCATAGTAAGTTCATTGCATGGTTCTAAAATGGCAATCTTATCCTAATTTGCTGGTTCTACTGTTGGAGCTATATTTTCTGTTTATGTTAGCGATTGTTCATGTTAATTGTAACATTTGCTTAGTAGACTGAGTAACTTGTCTTTTACAGATACATTTATATGGTACATCTCTTGGAGGCTTCCTAGCTCAACTTTTTGCTCAACATCGTCCAAGACGGGTTAAATCCTTAATTCTATCAAATACTTTTTTGGAGACACACAGTTTTGCAGCAGCAATGCCTTGGGCACCTATGTATGTCTTTACATTTCTTTTAATTAACTCTAGGCTGGATATAATCAAAATTGCTTCATTTGTTGGATTATGCATGCAGTAATTCATTTGCGTAAGATTTGCCTCTTAGTGTGCTGTAAATAGATTGGCATTTTGAAATCAAATGATTGCTTGTATGCAGTTTATTGTGGCATTGAGTAAGAACAAATTTCCTTGCAATGAGTCAGTTTCCTTAAATTAACCACTTGCTTGTATTAGCATAAAAGCATTTCTTGTGTGAATGGAAGAGGTTTTTTTTTTTTTTTTTTGCCAATAGAATGGAAGAGTATATTTATTCTGCTTTCACATGCATTTTTCTATATAAGCTAGTCTTGTCCATGGTTTAAATTTACTTATTGCTATAAGTTGTTTCTTGTATATTAAGTTTAATCAATATTCTTTTTTTTTTTTTAGTTCCTGCAATTATTTCTCAGTTTTTCTTCTTACATGATCTTAGTTACTTATTGCATGTAAATATGAAAGTGTTATTAAGATATTAACTGGCCACATGCAGTGTGGGATGGACTCCGTCTTTTTTGTTGAAACGATACGTCTTAACAGGAATTCGGGATGGCCCTCATGAACCTTTTATTGCAGATTCTGTGGACTTTGTTGTTTCACAGGTAGGTTTCTAGGAAGACATGGACCATTTTTCCTTATTGGATTTTTGTTATTATCATTTTGTACGAGGCACACATCACTTTCTTATTGTGGTTTGATATGATATGTTGAAGTAATCTTTGCTTCACAGGTTGCATTATCACAGTTTCAAATGCACGGTGCATCTTATCATCCTCTCAATAGTTGCATTATTATATATAATTAACTACAGTGCAAGGGAAAGTTCATGTTTCTGTAAGCTACATGTAGTACAAATATAGTTTTGCTAGGTTTTTACCTTGGTTCTATCAATTAAGAAATGCAATCACTTAAGGTGGATCTCACTCTGTGCATCATCTTTATGTTGGTGAAATTCTAAACAGTTGGTTTTTCCTAGAATTTCTCTCTCTCTCTCTCTCTCTCCCCTTTTTCTCTGGCTCCTTTCCTTTCTTTCATTTGTGGGCAAGGAGAACTAGCCCATTTATTTTCTATGGATAATTGCTTTTTCAGTTTGAAGTCTGCACTCTGTATTTTGCTTTCAAATGCAAAAAACAATCTGCTGTAATAGAAAGAGATTGCTTTCTCTATCTGAGGCCATATGTGACAATCATTTCAGGTTGAAACACTCTCAAGAGATGACTTGGCATCCAGGTTGACTTTGACAGTTGATAGGGCTTCAGTTGAACCACTTCTACTTTCTGATTCATTTATTACTATAATGGATGTAAGTTGTATGAAACTTGCTTTTCATGAGTGTGCACACAAACATATTTGAAGTATTCATGCTCTTTTAGTAAACAAGGTTTGTTTGCTAAGCTGGACAAGGAGAAATAGAAAAGATGGCTTCTCTATCTTCATACATTGTTAACATTTTCCTTTAAAAGTGAATGAAATATATTGTGTAATTATATTAAATGTGATTTTATAAAAAAATTTTGTTCAGTTCTCCGTTGTTTAGATTTTTTTTAGTTAATTTGCAGGTTAACATGCCAAGTTTTCCTAGCTGCATGGCTGTAGAAATGTTTTAAAGCACAAGATGATTTCCTTCTTGGAACACTTGTATTCATATTAGGAAGTTTTTCCCTTTAGCTGATAGCTCTATTATTGACATGGTTTTCTACACGGCCTTGAAGACAAATGACTACTCTGCAATTCCTCAACAACTCAAAGATCAGCTGGGTGAGAGGTACCCAGGTGCACGGCAAGCTTATCTGAAAACAGGAGGTGATTTCCCATTTCTTTCCCGCCCAGATGAAGTTAACTTACATCTTCAGGTATATAACGTGTATATGTTAACACAGGACTTATCTCATAATGATAATACTGTCGATATATCAAAAGACTGTTATTTCAACTGGTGTGTGAAACATGGCAGCTGCACCTGAGACGAGTTGGAGTAGAAGCTCAGCCAGATTTGGTTCGGAGGATCCCAAAAGATGGCACTGGTGGGAGCCCTAGCAAAGAGAATGATGAAAAGAAGGATCGTGATGACCAACCAAAAGATAGCGAGGGCAATCCTGAAAATACTTCTGAAGAAAGCGGGTCACCTCCAGCTCCGGAAAGTTCCGAATCTCGTGGTCTAGATGATCAGCTACTCAGCAATGCAGAAGCTTGTTCCATAGATCAGGCAGATTCAATTGTTTTGCCGCATTCTGCATTGTTGAAGAATCAACACACTGTAGCCACTAGAATCCTTCTTCGATCGACTTGGGAGTTCTTTATTTTCTCTTTGCTTCCCTTTTGCGTGGAGTCATTATACATCACTTCTAATAATGTTTGGAAATACAGACAACTGGTGTAAAATAGGACATAAATTAGCAGTTTCTTCTTATTGTTGTTGTTCATACAAGCAATTGTTGCAGACAAACCTGCGTTTTCCATTGACAATGTTGTACTTTGTACCTGTTCAATTATTTCAAAGTTCTTATTATTACTGAATTCAAGTCAAATCTTTTTCACCTGGGACTTTGTAAATCCTGCAGGATTTGAAAAGCACGTGCTTTGAAATGGATAAGGTCATATGTTCCAATGGATTGTTAAGAAATATCATCGTATATGTCTCAAATTATAGCAACTAAAAGAAATTGTGTTTGTAAGGCAATTTATTTTCATGCAAAAGCCTTCTTGGTATATAAACCCTAACAGGATAAATAGGTTGCCTTTCTGCTTGTGGACTGACGGCCTCCGCAACCTCCATAATGAGTCACCATTGCATGCACGGTAGCAGTCAGCTCGCTCTCTCTCTCTCTCTCTTCGCTTAATCTCTTACTTCAAACTAATTAGCTAACAGTAAATCTCGGCCATTTCTTTGTTGTAACAGAAAAGGGTGTTTCAGCCTCCGCATTACCCTACAGACGCACCCCTTCCACCTGGCTTAAGATATCCCCTCAAGACGTAAAGACCTATAACTAAACAAACTAAAATAAACCCATTTTCCCTTTTCTCTTATTCTTCATGATTTCTCACTTGTTATTTAAGTTCAGGTGGAGGAAAAAAAACATCTGCAAATTTGCCAAGAAAGTCTTGACTCCCTCACAAATAGGTGTCATACAACTTCCTTTGTTTTTCGACATAGAAATGTTGTATATGTAGTGGTATTTACGTGTTGAGGATTGCTAATTGGGGTAGCATTGGCGCCAGAGATTCCAGAAGATCTTTACCATTTGATAAAGAAAGCGATGGCGATTCGGAAGCATTTGGAGAGGAACAGGAAGGATAAAGATTCCAAGTTCAGGTTGATTCTTGTGGAGAGCAGGATTCAACGGCTCGCTCGTTATTACAAGACTAAGAAGCTCCCTCCTGTTTGGAAATAGTCAGTTCTTTGCTTCTTATCTTTCATTTGCTTTACACAATTATAATATTATGAATATGATGATTGCTTTGTGTTTTTGCTGTTGTTAACATTTTTTGACAGCATTTGAACTTTGCCTCTTTCCCTCATGTTCTTATTGTAGTGACTTTCTCCTATATGATTGTTAACCGTTACTAATCCTATCTCTGCAGCGATTCAACCACGGCAAGCACCCTGGTTGCTTAGTGAAAGTGTTAGAACTCTGGCTGAGGGCGTGTCATGTCCTAATTGAACTGAGCTAAAAACTTTCCGGTGAAAAAACTGTCTAGTAACGTTGGATCCTTATACTAAAACAATGATTTTGCTTTTGCTAAATTTTTTTGTGATATGCAGGGAGCATTATTATCTTATATCTATCTTTTCCAAGCTTTTGATGCCTAAATCTGTCTTTGTACGTCATCATGTGTTGAGAATTGTTATTTTGCCTGAATTGTATGCTGATTTAGTCGCCAGCAGCGAGAACCATACCAAGTTTCAATTCAGGAAATATAGCGTTAGGTTCCAACCATTTCAACCCCAATTGACTTCTCTCTGTTTCTTCTATCTTCAATCATCACCAAATGAAAATGTGAATTATGTGTGATTCATAGTCATTAGATTTTCTAAAATTTGATTCTTTTCCGTAATTAACCAGTCTTACAGCAACCAACATTTGATTCCATTATTAAGATCTTAACAAGATCAACTAAATTCAAGCCCTTGTTCCATGTCCCGAGTTCTGACTATCTGGGGATGGCAAAACAAACCTATACTGCACAGTATCTAGTGATTATACATTCTTAAATATCTAAGCATATACTGACAATTTTCAAGCATTATTTCCAGAAAAATAAAGGGGGTGCTATTGTGTTTGCTGTCAGCCAGCTACACAAGGCAACTTGCCACTTCTGACTGCTACCAGCATTGGGCGAAGCTCAACATGACATCCAATGGTAGACCAGTGAGGTTGCAACTAGAAAGCAAAGGAACATCCTTCATCTACTTTTGCATATCAAAAGAACCCAAGACTTGTAGGTGCAGTACAAGACACTTCATTAAAATGATGGATCACACAACATCACAGCCCCACAGCCTTATTTAAAGCTATCAATTATAAGCTGGCATCCTTTTAAGCATGAAGATAAAGGAAAGAGATCCAAAAGCCAAGATACCACTTCCTGGCAACATGATTGCTCAAACAAGGTTGTGAATAATCCATCTACCCTATTCTGAATAAATTTTTAGGTGAAGGTGGTGGTCTTTGGTCCTCCACTCAACTAAACCCTTCTCCAAGTATCAAAAGGTCAGTCAGATTGTTCCATCATTAGTTCCCAGTAAACCTCATAGCAAACCCACCATGGACTGCAGCATGTACAAACTAAAGTTCCAGCAATTCATTACAAAGTATATTATTCCCTACATAAATCCTACTTCTACAAACTTTGTTGGCTTTAGTATCAGTTTAGTTCTGACAGATGTAAGATAAAACACGAGCAATTGATGGAAGCCTACAATCAATCTTACAGTTATCTTTCAGCCATGAGTCGTACCATGATCAAGACAACAAGGTGAAGCCAAGATGATTGAAAGTGATAATCCATACATTAGCATGCACCTACCACAAATATCTTTAAAAGTTTCTTGGAACTCAATAATACTATGACAACATCTCTAATGCTCCAAGATAAAAAGTTACAAAATTGCCGATGTGAAAGATGTGGTTCGGAGGAAGGACTTTCGTACACCTTCAAATTATAATTACAATGCAATCTCCTTGGTCTATTAGTCCATGAATGTTAGCAAAAGAGGCCCATAGAATTCGAGGATTCAATGCAAATCTCAATCCTCCTTTTCCCTAAGGAGAGACAACTAAAGATAGTAGAATGCTATCTGAGAACTTTGGCAGCCACCTCAAAACACAGCCCTAGTTTCAGTTTCATTTCATCTTTAGCCATCACAATTACTATCCTTAAATCAGCAATTCCCTCTCATTGACAAACTATTATCGGGATCTTTAATCATTGGATAACAGAGTCTCTCAGAAGGCACTTTGCATGCCATCATGATAACATATACACCTCTCCTCTCATTTCAGCAACTCCATAAGATTAATACATAGCAAATTGTACAAACATAACAATTGGGTCCTAACTTGCACCTATCTCAACCAAATGAAAATAAGATTGTAGCAAATATTCCTCATATAGGAATTAATCCTAAAACTTTAGAGACATTCAAAAATCACAACTTTGCATAAAGAATTGAAAGGACACAAAAAAATTGTTGGAATAAATTCCTCAAAAACATGGGGAAAAACACAAATTTCTAATACAAAATCAAACCAAACACAAGAATATTAATATAAATTACATAGCTACACACCAATCAAATTCTCAGAGAAAGAGAGCATTACTTCCAACAATTCCATAGAAACAAACGAAAACAAACAAATAAGAAACACATTATCCTCCACCACCTCAAATCCAAATAACTCGCCCACAAGAAAAATACATTTCTTGAAAAACAAAGAAATAAAAAACAAATATTAATGACCTTTTCTCACTTAGCAACCATCCTGGCAATAAATTCCTCGTAACGGATCTTCCCATCTGGCCCAACATCCACTTCCCGGATCCACTCATCGAACTCAGACGGCTCCAGCTTCTCACCAATGCTAGTCAATATGTGTCTCAGATCCGCGACGGAGACAAACCCGGTCGACTCCTTATCCAGCACCTTGAATGCATCGCGTAGCTGCCTGTCAAACGGCTCAGGTTTCATGTGCTTCGCCATGAGATCTAAAAACCGAGGGAAATCAAACGGAGCCGTGAGCTTCTCTTCGGCAACTATAGATTTGAGTTGGGCTTGGGTCGGGTTTCCACCGAGAGACCTCATTAGGATTCCTAGCTCCGATGGAGCGATCTTGCCGTCGCCGTCCGTGTCGAAGAGAGTGAAAGCCTCCTTCATTGACGAGACCTGTTCGTCGCTCAGATCCTTGCCCATTTTCGAGGGTTCGGGTTTTCGAAGGAAGACAAGAAATGATTTGTTTTTTTTTTTTTTCTTTGAATTTTGAGTTTTTTGTTGGTGTGAGAGGAGACGAGTGGAGCCAGGAAAGGAGCACATATAAAACGGTGGCGAATTAAAGGAGTGCTGTATAAGACGACGTCGTTTTAGTTGTTACTGAGAAATAGTTATAACGTGTGACTTGTCCCGTCAGTTCTTCATCTCCTCCGTGGATGCCGTTGAGCCGTGTAGGATTGTTGGTAAATGGAATCGGGTCCACATTCCACTGCTGATTTCAAATTAATTAAGACAATGCATTTAAATATAAAATTATAAATATCATTAAATTCAGGCTTAATTCATTTTCTGTTGAATTGAAAGAAATTTAGAATTTAAATTTAAATTTTAAAATTTTTTTATTTTCAGAATGTAATTTTTTATAAAATATTATAATATCATTGATTAATACAAAAAATTATTAAATATACTGATAATAAAATATTTTACTTTTATAAACAAAATTAACAAAATAAAATGTCATTTATATAATAATATAGGATCATAGGTTCATCATTTCTCTTAAGATTATGGTTTTTATTTTTTTATTTGTTTTGGTAAAATGTTGTACGTTACGGCCCAAAGGATAAAGAATTTCAGGCTTAGTTGTTGTAGGAACTAGGAATCATCTCTTTTGGGTTGGCGGAAAAATCCAACTTTCTTGCAATAGTTGTAATCGTCCAGTCTAAGTTTCATGGATCCGTCCCAGTATCTTCAGCCTGAAGCTTCTACAGTTACCAACATTTATGTCCCAAAATTGGCCCAAAGCTTTATACTACCAATACCCAAAGGCCCAAGCTTTGCAGCTCTTCGAATATTTAGCTTATGTGCGGATGCAATTGCATAAATTTATCAACAAGTAGTCATGGTTACTTCAATTAGTTGGGGTTTTTTTTTTAATGAAAAAATTTTAGGTTTCAGTTTTGTTGGTGACATGTCATCTTTCGAATGTACGACCTACAGTCACTTGTTTTAAATTATTAAGTACTGTACTTCTTACCATAATATAAGAAATTGAATAATTTATTTATCCTAAAATTTTTTTTTATAAAAAAAATTGCATAAATTTTATATTAATTATTTTTAATTATAATTATAATAATAATATATATATTTTTTAATCTTAACAGACTCAATTCCACCGTTAATTTCAATTTAAACTTTCAAAGCCACTGCCCACTGGGATTTGGGAGTACAATTTCAGGTGTTTTACAGATTGCCAACATTCAAGCTGTAATGGCGAAGCCACCAATAATCAATTCCATTATGGCTCTCAATTTTCTAAGGTTATTTCTCCTTTTAACGTCCTTTCATGGTTAAGGGCTACTGTATGAACTAATCAACAGTCAATTAGTCATATCTTCCCTTTTTTTTTCCCAAAAAGAAAATCTTTAACTTTAACTTTAACTCTTCCATTAAAACATAAAAAGTACCGTCATTAGGGGAGATGTTTATGGAAATCGTTTTATAAGTGAAAGACAAGGTAAAAGAGACGAGTACAATGAAAAATAAGTGAACTTCTTTCATGAAGACGTCACTTTTCTTGTCGCTCATACCTGACCTTTATTATTATTATTATTATTATTATTTTTTCGCGTTAATAGTTGCTGGCTGACCTCGCACATGCAGAAGGTGATCTTCACACCAATTTTCAAAAGCAGGTCTTTGGTCTCTACGACGTATGACCAAACAAGTAGTAGTGGTAGTAGTAGTTATTAGATATCCGTCAATCTCAAACAATAAACATTTCTAAAACGAAGAACAATGAAACAAAACAAGACAAAATCCATGTTAGTATATATATTTCAGTCTTGTTTTATATTGTGTACGCATTGAATTACTATTAACAATTCAATGTTAGCCAATCAAAACTTTGTTCAAATATGCGTATATGGTTTTCGACCACTTTGATCCTTTTTTTTTCCTATTGAAAATGGTGGGGAGGTATTTGAAAACGCCATGATATTTCACTAAAATGGCATGATTTTCTTTCTCAATTTTCATCATGGCCATGGTATCCTTTTTCTTTTTTACCACTAACCCAAGTTCTTTCACTTTATTGTTTATATAAATGATCCCATGTGAGAGTCTAAGGTAAGATCAAATATAAGAGGTTGATACTATCTTTTTAGAACATTGAAAAAGATGGCTCCACTCGTTGAAAGTGCAAAGTCGGCAGCCAACTTTTTCTTGTGGACCATGATCAAGGATCTAATTGCATGACCCAATTCTTTAATTGTAAACAACTGCGGGACCGATCCCTAGTTTTGCCTCTATTATTAGTTTTGTTTTATTTGAGAGCGCCTCTATACTCTTTGAAAATTCAAGGAATTTTTTCCTCTTAGAGGATGGATTTCAGTTGTTCAATTTTTGTTGTGCTCGTTTGTTTGATATAGAAAGTACATGAAACATGAAAATATGATGATAAACCAATAGCCATATAATAACATTTGAAATTGGTTTTCATTTATATTCAAATTTTAATTTAATTGATTAATAAAATTATATTTAAAAAACAAAATTTAACATATTTGAGATTAAAAAAATTGATATTAATTCAGGAATTGAAGCAAAACTATTCAAGTAAATGCATTAGAAAGATGATGGGACAGCCAGATTTAACCTTTATACTAGTGTCGGTATTGCAACGCAACATTTGAACGCAGTTATAATCAAAAGATCATTCGGACAGAAGAATCACAAAATGGACCCCTTTTTTCCCTCTTCGAAGAGAAACATATAGTAGTAATTAATGACGAAGAATGCCTTAACATGATGTTCTGGTGAGGGCAATGAATTAGAGTTTACCAGAATCCAAGGTTGAGGAATAGTTCTATATATTTATCCTACTTATTTTTGTTGAAAAGTATTATACATAATGCGCTTTCGGGGTCAAGAATCCCTTATTTGACGCAAATCTTCAGGGCATTTTGGCTTATTTCAAGTTTGGTACTAGAATTATGTGAGGGACATCGAACAGGAATAATCAATCATTGTCTGTTCGGAGAAGTGGAAAAATCCCTCCAAAAAGAATAGGAAAATAAATGAGGCAGTGCTATCCAGTTATTCATCCACTTTCTAGGCTGGTTTTCTGACCGGGGTGGTTTGAACTTTGCTATATTTCTTGCTCTGATTTCTACAACAGGGCAGAGGAGTAAATGTTCAACCCCCATGTGGGAGGCCATGTTTTGTTAGGTTTCCCACCCAATTCCCATTGACCTCAACACTTTTCAAATTAACAAGGACAGGAATATATTATATTTCCCTAATGGCTAGGCTGCTTTATTTTTCATGGTGAACCATTGCAAATAAATACTATTAAACATGACACAGTTAGAATCTGGCAATGTAAAGGAATAAATAGTTATTAATTGTTTTTATTAGTTTAATTTAATTGCCAACAATCACATAATATATTGGTAAAATATTAAATTTTTAATTTTAATTATTAGAATTTAAAATTTGATGATTTCGAATATAAAAAAATATATAAATATTTCTTATAATTTATCAATAATTTCATTGATTTAAAAAAAAAATTATATTTTTATAATCCTCCGATCATCCAAACCCACATGATAGACAAATCTCCATATGGTTCTACTGATCCAATTGCCCATCTGCTTTGCTTATCCTTTTCTGTACACAAAGTCACCAACTACAACCAAATTATTACCTATTTGTCACAGACAAGAAACTTCATCACAGCCCATTTCTTGATAATCAGACCTAAATCAAACTTAACTACAAAAATCAAGCGAAGGAAAAATCTTTCCTATGGTCACAGTCGTGATGGCTAGCTGTCATCATACCTTCACCCATATTTCTTTATCAACTGGGTATTAAATTTCGAATGGGAACATGCTGTGTTTTCCGAAAGTCGCTATTAATTGTGCATTCTTTGTTTCAACTTTGACATGCAGTAAGCTCTACACTGCTTCCACTTCTCTGTCCTTCTTTCTCTTTCTTACGGCTCTGTTCTCACTATCTTCTTCTTCGTTTCATTAACTATTGGATTTACTACAAAAATTCTACAGGAAGAGAGACTTAATTACTACTCTTAAAGGAAGAAACAGATATGGGTTGTTTTCTTTGAACTCTTTTATTACAAACCAAGTAGAAGAATTCGGTTGAAAGACAGGAAACCCTGGAAGATTTGAGCCAAGGGAGAAGATGGGTGTTTTTCAGTTTCTGTTCTTTCTCTTTCTTTTGTTCACACTCTACATTCCACTATCGGTTCACGGGAACACGGAGGTTAGAGCTCTAATGGAGCTGAAGGCTTCTTTAGATCCAACAAACAAGGTCCTCGATTCATGGAAAAGTGATGCTGACCCTTGTAGCGGTTCTTTTGTGGGTGTGGCTTGTAACGAGCACCGTAAGGTGGCTAATATTTCGTTACAGGGAAAGGGTCTTTCTGGTAAAGTCTCGCCTGCTATTGCGGGACTGAAGTGTCTCTCTGGTTTGTACTTGCATTACAATTCTTTATCCGGAGAAATACCAAAAGAGCTTTCAAATCTTCAAGAATTAACTGATCTTTATCTTAATGTTAATAATCTGTCTGGAAGCATTCCTCCTGAGATAGGTAACATGGCTGGTTTACAAGGTTAGTTCATCTTTTGGTTTCTGAATTTTGGTTTATTTGGAGCCAAAAAAAGAAGAAAATTATTATCACATCACTCTTATATTGGAGCCAAAAAATGAACTACATTTTCTCTTAGTAGATCTCGCTCAATCTCAATTTTACAATTTTTTTAAACTTAGTTAATGCATTTTAGAAGAAAAATTGCTTTCCTTTCCATAGTATACAAAATATATCCCACCAGCAGCATTTTTTTTTTTTAATATTTAAAGCTCCCAAACCATAAACACTGAAATTATGAGATAACATGATTGTTGACATCCCACCAGCAACTTAGCTATAACCGAGAAACTGATTTCTGTTTTACAAATGTACAGTTTTTACTGAGTTGTTGAAATTTTAGATAAATGGAATTTTTTTAATCTTACTCTATCTTGTGTGATATTGATTGATCTTCTAAGTTCAGACACTGGTCTTAACGTTAAAATTTTTTTGGCTGGTAGTTCTACAGTTATGTTGCAACCAGCTGACAGGGAATATACCAACAGTGATAGGGTTTTTGAAGAGACTAAGTGTTCTTGCTTTGCAATATAATAGACTAAATGGTACAATTCCATCCAGCTTAGGGAACTTAGGGATGTTAAGAAGACTTGACTTGAGCTTCAATAGCCTCTTTGGTGCAATTCCTACAACATTAGCAGATATTCCAGAATTGGAAATTCTAGATATCCGAAACAATACTCTATCTGGAAATGTCCCTTCCGGTAACTATGTTTCTCCTAGACTAACTCCTTGAATTAAATATTGTTCATTTGTTCTTGTATCATTCTTGTTCCTCATGTTAACTTAGACTGATTTATAGTCTGTAATGAATGAAAACCAAGGTCTGAAGAGATTAAATGGAGGATTCCAAGGTGAGAACAACCCAGGTTTATGTGGAACAGGCTTTCCATCACTGAGAGGTTGCAGTCCTTTTGATAGTCTGAACATCAACCAGCTTGAACCTTTCCGATCACATCTAAATGACACAGCTCCAGGAGTTACCTCACAGACATCAAATATCCATGGACATTGCAACCACACTCATTGCTCAAATTCATCGAGATTCCCAGAGTTACCCGTTATTTCAGGGGTTATTACATTCAGTTTCGGTTTTATGGTTGCTGGATTTCTTGCATTTTTTCACTACCGTAGGAAGAAACAAAAGATTGGAAATACATCTGATTCTTCTGATGGGCGCCTAAGCACAGACAGGGCCAAAGAATTTCAAAGGAATGGAAGTGTTTCTCCGCTTGTAACTCTTGAATATTCATACGGATGGGATCCATTAGGTGATGGTTGGAATGGCATCGGATTTTCTCAGGAGCATTTGAATAAGTTTAGGTTCAATCTAGAAGAAGTTGAGTCAGCAACTCAGTGCTTTTCTGAGTTGAATTTACTGGGAAGGAGCAACTTCTCTTCTGTCTACAAAGGGATTCTGAGAGACGGTTCTCTTGTAGCCATTAGGAGCATAAACGTGACCAGCTGCAAGTCTGAGGAAGCAGAGTTTGTGAAGGGTTTGTACTTATTAACCTCCTTGAGTCATGAAAACCTCGTTAGGCTGCGAGGATTTTGCTGCTCAAGGGGAAGAGGCGAATGTTTTCTCATCTATAACTTTGCTTCAAAGGGAAACCTATATAAATATCTCGATCTAGAAGAAGGAGATGAATCAATTCTTGACTGGTCGACAAGGATTTCCATCATCAATGGCATCGCAAAAGGTCAGTTTCTGATCAGGTTTATGTGCCATAAAAGATCACGAGTCCATCAAATGTTTCTCTTTGACTAATATTCTTGTAATTTGCTCCAACAGGTATAGAATATTTGCACAAAAATGAAGCAAACAAGCCGCCCATTGTCCACCGCAACATATCTGTAGAGAAAGTTCTAATTGACCAGCAATTCAACCCATTGATTGCAGACTCTGGTCTCCATAAGATTCTTGCTGATGACATTGTCTACTCAACTCTGAAAGTGAGTGCAGCCATGGGTTATCTAGCGCCAGAGTACATTACAACTGGCCGTTTTACAGAGAAGACTGACATATTTGCATTTGGAGTGATTATTCTCCAAATCCTGTCTGGTAAACTTCAACTAACAAGCTCAATACGGTTGGGAACAGAATCTAGCAGGTTTGAAGATTTTGTTGATACAAATCTCAGAGGAGAATTTTCAGAATCAATGGCAGCGAAGCTGGGGAAAATTGCACTTAATTGTACCCATGAACACCCTGACGGTAGACCAACCATGGAGACAATAATTAAAGAGCTAAATGATTGCAATGTCCGTCGTTGATGCGCGCTCTTTTTTGCCAACTTGAAAAAACGATGATAATGGGATCAAAGAGATTGCTGAAAATGCCTTTTTGTTGGTTGTTTTAGATCTTTTTGAGAGGGACTAAGATGATTGAGGTGTAAAAAGATGGCAAATATCGTGTAAAGTGGAGTTGCAGATAGGAAAAATTTTGGGAGGAGTTTCCCCAATGATGACTATAAATAACAAAGCCTTAGGGACACAACTTTCTAATCAACACAATTTGTTACGTGCATTCTATTGTGTATCTCCATGAGCATTTGCAAGCAAGCCAACAAAACGAGCCTCAACTGCTGAACTGCTCTCGTAACAAACACTCGAAAAGCATTTAATGTAGTCCAGAGATTCAATCTTTTAACATTTTAATGCCTGCAAGCTCATCTGAAGCTTGAATTCGCATTTTCTGAAAATTCTATGTTAACCTCCCAAAAACAAACTGTTGGTAGAAACAAAGATAGGCTCGTGATCTAGTCTCATAGAGCTGGTTTCATTAATAGTGTAAAGTTGTTTTTTTCTTCTCAAACTAAACTGTCATAAAAGAGCTGGAATGAATTTCACAATGTATTGAGCCAATGAAGGCGTTCAAGAAACCACACTTCTTCTCTTTCTCAAAAAGTTTTAACTGCAAATAAAAAGCTTGGAAACAAACATCCACATATCCAAGAGTGTACGGAAGCTGTGTTGCATCATGATCCATAGACAATCAGAAGATTTTCAAGAGAATCATGGGCTTATTGAATACAACATAATTTGATCTCATATTTATTTCCTCACAATAGGTATGATGCAGTAGCAGACAAACAATGGTAATCAACTCCAGGGTGTACAGCTATTTCATTTCTAATTCCTTTTTTTTTTTTGTTTAGTGAGAACATAAAAATGTAAACAAGTTAGCAGTTATAAAATAAAGTTCTAAGAAGCTGTAACAGTGCTTATAATAACCATGTGAGGTGCCAAGCCAGGCCAAAGACCTGGAGGACTATTAAATGATTGCAAAACAGTCTATGCCATGGCAGTATGTTTTTGATCTTGAAACCATTCCGAGGGCCACCAATCTGGTCTAATTGTCTCAACCTTTATATCCTCCTGCCCCTGTATTATCAATGAGTTAGACCCTTTGAACGCTTCATCCAGTCGCAAGACACCCGTTCCACAAAAGCCAAGTGCAGTGGTCACACTTCCTGCCTTTTTATTGGAGGCAGGGTTAATCACCTCTGAACCAGGGGCAACTCTCCCCTCAACCTCTGAAATAACAGAAAGGTGTCAGTTGTCTTGTTGCAAGATAATTAACTTCATCAAAGCCCACTGGAGGCAGACTACCTTTTCCATTATTATCAAGAAACTTTAAAGGAAGCAAACGTTTGCGGATAACCCCCCTGTGGTGTGTACGAGCTATAAGTTCTTGCCCTACATAGCACCCTTTATCAAAGCTGATTCCGTTTAGGCCTGTGAAATTGTATTCAAGTGGAATTGCCTCCCCTAAACAACATAATAACAATGTCATAACAGAAACAGCATACAAATAAATGTAACTCTGAAAACAAAGGCAAAACATAACATAATAAATTGAAGAAACAACAATAGGAAGAATAGTCATGATAAAAACAAAGTTAGAAAATGCAAAAAATATTCAAGAAACTTAAGTATACCATTAGCAACAAAGCAAACAAGCACCTTTTGGAATTTCAGTTGAACCCTCAGCAACTCCCTTCCCTAATCTCCACAGAAGGTAATTCTCTTCATCTGTTTCTTTATCAGACTCAACTAAAGGCGCTGCAACAGACAAAAGAATATGAAATTTTGCAGTATAAGCAACAAGTAGGTAGCATGACTTCTTAAGAAGCAAACATCTTAAGTCGATCAATATCTCAAAGCTAACGGTTTACATTAAAAATGTAGATAAGAATAAATTTCAGAAGTAACAAAAGTTTGGTAAACTCACGTGATCTACCAGATGGAAAAATTCCCCTAAAACCTAGACAATCCAATCTGGGATCCTTAAACCATAGCCATCCAACATCATTGCCATGTGAAGCTGACTTGCCAGAGCGATCAACCCCACCCCCCCAACCAACTGAAGCTGCCTCTGGTTCTTCAACAGCTGGGGTCTTTCCAGACAGGTTCCAACCATACCTCTGCCAGCAAGAAAAGTCTTCTGCCAGATTCTCAATATCAACTTTAGACCTCAACCGATATCTGCAACAGCATCCATAGGAGCAACCATTAACAGAGAGAGATTCTAAAGTTCATATTACTATAAAAGACAAGTACACATCACTAGCTGGTATAATAGTCAATCCCATAAAGAGACAAGAACATTTGCACATTTATCTCTTCAACAAATCATTTTAAAAGAAACAGCAACAACGTAGAATTCATACTGACTATGAATTTAACAAATAATAATACACTGAGAAATTGCAAAGAGATACAGACCAATTACTTATTTGCTTTAGACCTGGCTACCAGTGATTCAGGCATGTCCTCAAACAGAAATTCTAATGTCACAAGCAAGGCATTGTACATGGCTATTAAATGCCAAACTTGAAATACAGGTTCATCTAGAGGCTTACCAAGGCAAAAATCCAAAGCAGCTACTAGAATTTGGAAACATAAAAGAAAGCTAAAAACAACAGAAAATTTGACCCTGATCCTTAATCTGTGAATGAGAGATCCTAACTAATTCTAATGCAGAAGCCACAGACAACAGAAAATTATTCTTTTAAAATCTAAATTCTCAATCAAAATTAAAAAAAAAATTCCAATCTTTAAGAACAAGTAAACTAAAAATACCCACTTCTTAAGAGTCGCCAACAACTCATCCAAGAGAGACCTATCAACATCGGCCAAAATTTCCACCGACCCACCAGACCCACTACCAGGACCCGACCCAGTCCTGTCCAGCTTCTCCTCGGGCTGGGGCGGTCTATATAAGAAGAAGTCATACAAAAATCTTCCTTGAGGGGTCAAAAGAGCCGCATACATAGGCGGAACAACGACAGAGGCTACGTTGGGAGTAGGAATGGCGGAGTTATCTTCACATGGGGGTTCACCGAACCTCCGTACATCGTTTGTTAAAAGACCCTGGAGGAATTTGATGGTGTCGGGTCCCGAGAACCGGATTACGGACCGGGATTTTAAGTGAGAGCAGACTGGACCGGCGTTTTGTAGGTGGTGAAGGCAACGGCCGTGGACGAGAAGAGAGGGTCTGAAACGGTTCATTTCGAAATCGTTTCGGAATGAAGATTCGGATTGTTCTTGTAGGGTTTAAGGTTGGAAGAAAGGAAGGGGTTTAGGAGTTTCGAATGGGTTTGTTGGGTAGGTGACACGTTGCTTCCGTCGAGTTTTTGGATCGTGACTAACTGACACGTTGTTTGGAGGAAGACACAACCAACAGATGTTCGATGAAATTGTTGAATAGAATTTGGAAATGTTTTAATTTTGAGGAGGAATGCGGGCTTTGAGTTGATTTTTAAATTGGGTCATTATCCAAAAATAATGAGGCCATAAGCTTGGTTGCCTCTCTTGCGCCTTTGCGTCTCTTTTCCCATCCAAAACTCAAAACTCACAGCCAACCTTTAAAACACCATCCCCGCATTCCCGAGTAAATGTTTTCGAAAATCTCAATAACCATGGCTAAATCTATGAGCACAACTGCATAAAAATAGTCTTCAGTTTCCTATTCTATATCTTTCCTTTCATTTGGTTTGTTTACTTTATTTACAAATTGTGTGACTAAGATTAGAGAGAATTAAAAATAAATAAATAAAGTGCTCAGAGGATAGTAATTGTTTTTTTATTATTTAAACCCATGGACTGAACCAAATGCTCGTTTCTTAGAGTTGATGACATAATAAATTACTAAAAAAATTAAATAATCTTAAGCCTAATATTGAAATTGCAACTGCATGCAGTCCACAGTTTTCAGATAGAACAGCTGTTGATGCATAGTTCGTTAATTTTCAATAGATTCCATCAAAATAATTAAAGTTCAACATATTATTAGCATTTGATTCGGAAAAAGGTTTAATTTATTTATTTTTTTTAATTAGATGAAAGCAAGTTATTCTATTTCAAAGTCAAAATATATAGTAAATTTCAACAAAAATTATCTTAGACTTAAAGATCATTAATTAAGAAATTATTGACAATAAAAATGGAATTCAACTTTTACAAGTAAAGTATTTGCAAATGACATAAGCCTCAGCCGTAAAAATAGATTATGCTAAATGCATAAGCTGTCGTAGTCACATAATTCATCATCGCCATAGGGGACAGCTGAATTCCGCCAGTTGAAGTTGTGATATATAATAACTAAAGTTTTTATTTAATAATTAATAATAAGTGAAATAAAGGCTTTACCTAAATTTGTATTCATAGAGTCGAAGACTTTAGATCACCTCTTTACCTAATTCTCGTTTCGGCTTCATTTCAACCGTACAATCAGGTGATTCTATAAAAGCAATTAATATAAAAATAATTACTATGTGTTGACAAAATGCACAAAAATGACTATGTAATAGTTACCTCCACTAGTTCGTTTTGTTACCTACAATAAATAATACGCAACATGATCAACCACTTGTTATTTCCAAAAAAAAAAAAAAAAAAAGAAAAGAAAATGGCACTCCAAGCCTCAGTTTAATTGCAAAAAAAAAAAAAAAAAAAAATCAGTGGGTAATTATGAAAAGTAGAAAAACTTTATGTAATTTTGCTTTTATCTTATCTTTTCTTTTTTTTGGTACTATTTTTTTATCTTATAGTAAAATATCCATAGTTGAATTCCATTTATATTTGGCAAGTTCAATTGATCTCAAATCCCTCTAGAAATGGACGATAATGGCCACTTTGAATATTTACCAGCCCAAATTGTCCACTTTCTACCTGCCAAATTTGGCTAGAAAATTCAATGCTTAAGCAATCAATGACGAGCCCTGCGTAACGGTTGATGTCAAAACTCAAAAGACAAGACCAAGAAGCCAAGGCTTGGGGGGGGGGGCCTTTTCGAGTTTGGTATGTACGGTCTCTAATGTATCAGTATCACACGGAATGAAGGAGGAAGTCTTGTCCGTTGACTTTTTGGCTTAACCTTAAGGATTCTTTAATCAAAATAAAGATTTATGCGCACTGGAAATAAAGAAAAAGAATTTGACAATTAGATGGCAAGTGGGTGCACCCAAAGGTCATAATGGGTGCTGATTCACATGTGGCTAGAACCTATGCTAGCAGGCTATGTATTGTTGGGTACATTTTGGCTGACCTATTTTCCGGGGTATGCCATTGGGGTACTGACAATTATGGTGATGCATCATCTCCAATTTTTAGTTCTCAAATTGAAGGACTCCAGGGGCAACACCTTGGCCCTGTACTATCACCAGGCGCCAGTTTGCTAACAATTTACATGCATTGGCTCGTAACATAATTTCACAGTGCTTCCGATAGATATTCTTTGCAATGACCATGTTATTAAAGGATTTGTTAGCATCTGTGTCAGTTGCATCATGTTCAGCCAACAATTTCATGCTTGGTCTCATGGCAACAACAGCAAGCGCCCTCCTTTGGTGGTGGCACTAAAAGACGCCAGTGTGCTTTTCTCGCGACCTCAACATTCTGCACACCATAGGCCACCATATATCAGTAACTATTGCATCGTGGAAACAGTTTTAGAGGCATATATTGGACATGGTTATCTTTTTCAAGGTCGGGGTCAGACCCAGGTCTTAGAGTGAGCCTGATGCTGAATGGACCGATCAGACTCGTCCTCACGTTACAGCTCATTGAATTTTTTTCCACTTCTGTAATAAGAATTATAAGAAAACATTCAAAAGAATCAGGGGGTTTTGCTGCAAGTAGCATTATATTGTTATCAGAAAGACCATTGAAGATGTGCTAACATTTGCCAAGCAGAGTTACCCATTTTATCAGTTTTTGCTCGAATTTCAAACATTGACCTGTGAATTTCATTGTAATTTGTAAGTTTGGTAAATGTGAATCTGTGAATCTCTTAATTTTAAGCTGTGTCTAATCTTAACATTAGTTTCATAATGAAAACTATCCGCGCTATGCGATGAGATAAATAATTGTTAGAAGATGTATAAATTATTTTTTTATTCAGTAATTGATTGTGCAACTCTTGCCAAATTGGTAAAAGTGTTACTTTGAAATTAATTATACTAAAAAATATCTCAACCAATATAGTTTAGATATTTTTTAATATAATTTACTCTAAAAACTCCTATAATGTATATGTGTTATACATTATAACTTAATATCCAAATACACCCTCAAATTTTATTAAAAAATAAACAATCACTCAATCTTTTATTTCATGAAATTAAAATTAAAAAATTTTATTTTATCGTAATTATAATTATCAAATCTTAAAAATGGATTAATAATGTCAAATTGACACAATTTTTGAAATAATATTCCCCTAAATATTTGTCATTCAATTCATCCAAATATATCTAAACAAACATTTACAAATTAAATCATCCATCTAAAACAATTTTAACAAAAATTTGAATATCTTAAACTACCAAAATTCTAATTACAATAAAATAGAAGCTTATAACATTAATTTCAAGTAATAAAATATTAATGATTTATTTTTATTTTTTAGTAAAATTCTATTATTTATTTTAATATTATCGACATCCACCATTAAGACATGCTAACCTATTTATAGATTGTGTGGTTAAAATATAACCAATAAAAGTCATATTTAATGTATAGGATGATAGATATGATAAGATGAAAATTATTTTATATTATATTTAGTTTATGTTTTTAAAAAATGAATAGAATTATAAAAAGAATTAATATCCTCTTACTATAAGATAATTCAATTTTTTCAAAGTAGAAAAGATGATTTTTTAATTTATGATATTGAATTTACATGTCTTATTATATCCTTAAAAATTATATAAATAATTTAAATTGTATAAACTTTGAGGAATGATAATTTTGATCAATAAATAAATTATCTTATTTTAATTTTTACATACATCAAATATAATATAAGATGATATTATTTAATCTAATTATATTTATAGTATTATCTTATTATATCCTATTATAATTTTATTTATCAAACATATCAAAAAGGATAAAATAAGGTGATCAAAAGTCAACTAATCAATTTCAATTTTGTTTAGAACACTAAACAATCCAAACACTCAAAATAGAATACAAAAGCAAAATTCAACTAGGGTTTGTTCCCAACAGAATTGGACTCATCTGTTCTAAGCTTTACTTTCTTTTGGGTATATATATGTTACTATCAACAAGTTATTATTTAAACGTAGTTTGGATCTCTTTCCTTCCCATTGAATTGAAATTACTTTTTTATTCAATATTTACTGTTTTTATAGTGTGTTAAATCAGGAGATATATAAGTTATTCAATTCTTTATATTAGGATAAGATGCGTTATATCTAATAACTTAAAACAGATAACTGTAAACCGTGCATTCGAAATAATATAATATATAATACAAGCTACAAAGATGTCCATAAAAAAAAACTTTCATAAATATTTACACGTATAATTTATTATTATGACACGTATTTATAATTATCTATCAAATAATTTATTCAATCAATTATTTGAAGTTTTAAAATGTTCTAAATTTCAAGAAAAAAAAAAAAAGATACTTATCCAAGTCTTTTCATGTTAAATCATTTATAATCTTTATTCTTATTCAAAATCTTTCCAATAAAAAAATTAAAAATTAAAATCTTATTTAAAATTAACATGTGCATATTGTTTATCCTGCGTCTAAACAATGTAAATGTGCTGTGAAGCAATTTAAAGGTTTTGCACTTTCTCTAATTTTTAAATAAGTAAAATTAATACATGCATTAAATGCATGGATTATAAGTTAATTAATTGATAATATTCAAAAAAGCTCAAGTATAATTTTGAATATAAAATTACAAAAAACCCAAAGCTTATTATATTATTTGTAAAAGTCAATAAATTAATCTGTTGTTATCCAATATCAACGCAAATATGATAAATTAAGCAACAAAAAACAATGGTGCAAAAGACTTTAGAACATTTGTAAGCTAATATTAACTTTTAATTTATATATAGCTAGGTATGAATTAGTCCATAGTTTTGATTTTTTTTTATTTGCCAGAAATTGTTTTGTTTATTTTGATAATCTTGATTCATGAAAGAGTACTGTCTTCAAAGAGGAAAAGGAAATAATATTTATGCTAGTGTTTTAGAGGTTGGCAAACATGATAATTAAATTAATTTATTTTTGACTTGGCAAAGCTTATTCATGCAAGTTATTCAAAGTTGATTTTTTTAGTTTCGAGCTTAAAATCATTAAAATTTTTTAATTTTATAAACGAGATTAATATGATAATGTATATTTTTTAAAATATATTAAAAAAATATTTTTAAAAAGTGAGACATGTATAATTTTGATCTTAATCTATTTGTGAAAAAAAAATTACATTAATAATGTATAAAAATGAACACTAAAATAATTAATGAAATTCAAACTTTATGCAACCCATGGTCATCCTAATTCTTTTTTTTAATTAATTATTTGTGGGGCTCTTATATTCACCAATTATTCATCACCTAATTTTTTGTTATTTGGGTGGAAGCCAACTCCGTACCATTACGGCATTATCCAATAAAATTTCTATGAGCTGCTTATGAATTATTGTTAGTTTGACAAAAACAATACCATGAAGATGACCAACTATTGTACTAAACTACTATTTATTAACATTTCTATATGTAGAAACAAGTTTCAAATAGTAATCTCCCAAATCCATGTGTATGGATTTTAGCTTCCTAGATATAAAATATTAACATTTTTAAATAATAAAATACTTGATTTTACTTGTACATATTGATCATGTTGAAGTAGTGTTATATTATAATTATGATTTATTTTTTACTTTTTCTTTTATTTAAAATAACTTTTTTAAAAATTAAAAACAAGTGACAAAATTACCAATTAAAGGAAATTTAAATTATTAATTCTTAAAATTTTAAAATAATAATTGATTTAAACTTTTAAATGAGCTTGTTGATAAAAAAATATATTATAAATGTTAAAATTTAAATTCAGATATATTAAATATTATCTTTTAAAATAATTATATGAATTAATTGAATTATGTTTTAAATTTTAAAAAAATTAAAAAATTGAACCAAATAACGAATGAATCAATTTTCAAAAAAACAGTTTTTTGAATGAATAAATGTTATATGGTGAAGTCTTCGTTCGATGTTTTATGAAAATAATCTTGGTGGAGTAGGTAAGCGTCGTTTCCACGTCAGCAGTAAAACGAGTTCCATTTTCTGACGTGGCAAGCCAGCCGGCCAACAAATGAAAATGCGCGTGGATCTGACTCGGAGTCAAACTGAAGCGGCGTCCAATCCAGGGGATCGATACGGTACGGCCCCTCTTTCTCTCATACGGAAATAACGTAAGGGAAGCCGTCTGTGTTTTGACTTTTCCTACACCTTCTTCTGGATGTTTCATCTGGACCCCACAACATGACCTGCCTCAAATATCACCAAATATCGTCAGTTTTATTTTTGTGTTTCCCCAAGTTGCCCTTTTTTCACAATCATTTTACATTTAAACCCATGACCTCCTTGTAAAAGAAAAATCAGTCACCTCCTTCTATACTTTGAATTGAATCATCAAATTAGCAATTTTGATTTTTGACTAATCTTTTCTTTTTCCTTTTAAAATAAATGTTGATGTTGTAACAGGATGGCACACATAACTATTGAGTTTAATAACAATTACATGATCTGTTGATAAAATAAAATTATTTAATTTTAGCAAATAAAGATTAATTCATGATAATTTTAAATATAAAAAATATAATTAAGTGAGTTTTAATTCAAAATTTACAAGTAATTCATTTATTTATTCTAATATCAAAAGTCATAATTTTTTTAAGATAAAATCTCATATGCTGATTCAACTTGAAACATTAGATATTATATGATATATAGTTAGATTTTGTTGCTAAATGAAAAAGTATTCAATTATTGATTGAATCTAAAATTGTGAAAAGTTTAGAGTAGAGTTGGCAACAAGCATGCAAGAAAATTATAATCACATGAATGTGAGATAGTGGCATTGTCCCTCATGCTTCTCCACTCAACCAAATTAAGTTAGAATTAAGTGGGGGAAAGAGAAAAAGACTGTATATATAATGGCTAACGATATTCATCTATATTGGAAAGTGAAATAATGAGTCTACACTCTACAATCATTGAACCATAGAAACTTTAAAGAAATTGATCTTTTTCATTGTCTTTCAATTAAAATTGTACATGCTCTTGAAGAAATTAAGAATCCCACTTTCAACAGTACAATACTATATCTTTGCATTAGCTTAACAAAATTTTTTTAAAAAAAATTGTATCTAAATATTAATAACATAAGTATTTTTAAAAAGTGTATGTTACAGTTAAAAAATTGTGATTAGCTTTAAAAAAAAAAAGGAATATGGCATGAGTCGTGAATATAAGAATATTGACATCAATATAATAAATTTTGCATGTAAAGTCTAAAAGCCGGTTGATTTCGTCCAAGAAATGAAACATGAGACTAGAAAGCATAATCCTAGATGTCAAACTTTAATTATAGTAAATATTTAAGAGAGGAATTGGTTGATTTAACAAGAATCCAATGGTAACAGGCTAGCATTTTGCTTAAAGTTTGAATATTTCCCCGAGTAGGTCAAGCCGCGTAGATGCTTCCATCTCATTGAGTTCTTAACCAGCAAGTTATCAAAAACAAGTACCAGCACTGATTAGTTAGACCCCCTTATCCTTTGTAATTTCAGTGGACCAACCTGGGTATTTGCGAAGAAATTATTAACGAAAATGACATTTGAAAGATTCTGAAAAACCAGGTTGTTTCACATCAGTCCTGGAAACGTTAGATTTATACCAATCCACAGTAATCCCAATCAGCCACACGTTGGATTTGTCTGGGTACACCGTCAACGGTCCAACACAAATTAGTTTCCAGGAGATCTTTTCTGTCTCAAATATAAACCCAACACCAAACTGTTCTTTTCATTTTAGCTTGTCAACCAAGAACAACTTAAAATTGCTGAGAGAAAAAGAGAGAGAAACGAAATAGGTAACTGAAGGAAGATATGAAGCTAGTTTGGTCTCCGGAGACAGCATCCAAGGCCTATATTGATACCGTTAAATGTGTAAGCATCCTTCTGAATTCTGATGGGTAATTGTTTTCTTTTTGGTTTTTCATTTGATTCATCGGTTCTCCTTTTTGTTTTGTTTGCAGTGTGAACTCTATCATGATTCTGGTGTAGCAGAACTTGTTTCAGCCATGGCTGCAGGCTGGAACGCGAGATTCATCGTGGAGACGTGGTCACAGGGTGGAGCTACCGCAACAAGCATTGGCCTGGCGGTTGCTAGCAGGCATACAAATGGAAGACATGTATGCATAGTCCCCGATGAACGATCAAGATTAGAATACGTTCAGGCCCTGGAAGAGGCCGGCATGTCACCAGAAGTCATTGTTGGAGAACCTGAGGAGGTAATGAATGGATTAAATGGCATAGATTTCATGGTGGTGGATAGCCAGCGAAAGGACTTTTCCAGGGTATTAAGGCTGGCAAAACTCAGTAACAGGGGGGCAGTTCTGGTATGCAAGAATGCTAATCCCAAAAGTGCTTCAAGTTTCAGGTGGAGAAGTGTTATTGATGACGGATCACGGCGGCTTGTTCGTTCTGTGTTTCTCCCGGTAGGGAAGGGCTTGGATATTGCACATGTAGCAACCAGTGGAGGAAATTCAGGTTCAGGCAAAGGCGAAAGGCGGTGGATCAGACATGTTGATCGACAATCAGGGGAAGAACATGTCATACGAAAGTAGAATAATATACTCTTGCTCCTGTAGAAAAGGAGAATAAATTTGCACAATTGTATGTAGAAAGATCTCTTTTCAACTTTTTTGTTCTTGACTCTTGATATGTACAGAAATTTTGAACCTGAAAATTATTTGGAAGAACATTCCAATCACCTGATAGAATCAACTACTAATGGTTTCAAGGAGGTTTTACACCTTACTTTCCATTCTCAGCAATCTATTTCTTATCCCATCTTTCTTTCTTACCCATAGCGGAACAAATAATTATGCACATAGCAACGATTATAAATCTGGCAGCGAGCACCCACTTATACGGTTCTTCATCTTCTTCTTTCTGCTTTTTTTTTTTTGGGTTTTCGATATTTTTTCTTTTTGATAATAGAAAGAAATTAGAACTGTATGCTTGTCAAAAGTTACTCCCAATTTGTAAGAATTCAAGAATCAATCGATGCAGGTTCAGACTTTTTATATAGTTGCAATTTTCGGAGCCACTAGAACAAAATTACTTGCAAAAACCCTATAACAGTATATCCTTAGAATACCATTAGCTGTGACAAACAGACACGTAACAAAATTATGGTGTGTAAATGTGTGCCTTAGCAGCCTATAATGGATCAATGGTTATTTTACATCAGTTCCTTTGCCCAACAATGAATAATTTTAACAACGAATATGGACAAAACTCTCCTTTAAGCTACCTCCCAGCTATCTATTCCCCTATTCATTTGATGATCTTCAGACGCTATAAATTTAATGAGTTATGACTCGGTAATTTAGTCCCAACTGTCCCGACTTCTTCTAAATGCTTTCTTGTCTGAAAGGGCCTTCCTACTTTTAAGACGTTCTATGCTCCCCGATTGTAATCCAGAGCCAATCACAAGGAACATCATTCAAAAAGAATTGAAATATTGCCTCCAAAAGAATAAAACAACACAACAGATAAAGCAGCTACAGTGTCCACTTGTAAATGTGATGAACTCTTACATCTTCGAATTGTCTCTTTCGCTCTTCTGACGGGGGTGGTGGCACATAAGCAGCAGCATCAATGATTGCCTGTTTGTTTCAAGAAAAAGGACAAAAAGATGACTAGGTCATCACCATATCCAGAAACCAAAAGATCAATAATGCACATATCATGCAATAACAAACCAGATATGTCAATTGCATCTTTGGTGGGTAATATAACCAAATGCTAGGAATGGAGCAAATAATGATTGCTAGAGAAAGACTATTTCAGCACCTATAATTTTGCCAAAGCATCATCAATATTTCCGCTGAAAAAAAAATCAACAAAATATAACTAAAATGAATTACACAAATTAAAAGAAAATTAAAAAAAAAAAAAAACAGGGGAGAGAAACAAACTTCTGTGTCCCAGACGTTGTTGAAGAAATCACAATTTCACCATCCTTGTTTATTCCCTTTTTTTCCTGTTCATAAATACAATAGTGAGTTAAGGTTATAGAAAGATTAGAATTCCTAAACATAAGCAGATCTAGGGAAATCTAAAGTGTAAGCAAATACAAATTCTGAGACCAGCACTACATGTCAATTTAATGTATCTCGGTTTAAACTCCCCAGTGGAAGACTAATTAATAGTAGTAGGATCAGAGTCATATCTCTCATATTGGCAGAGCGTTGTTGGTATCCAAAATTCAAGCACTTCCATCCATCTTGATGCTTTTTTTAATTCATTCTCATTTGTTTCACTTTAATCTTGTTAACTAGTTAACAATAAGATATAACCTCAAGTTCGGAAGAGATTATTAGAGAATCAAGTTTCTCTTGTTCATTGGTACTATCAGAAGTTCCCAGTGAACATAATGAAAAATACCATTTAAGTTCCCTTAAATAATCATGAATTAGGTATGGACTTCACTTTTTTACTCTTATGTTGATCTTGCTGTGATCTTGGCAAATCAGTTTTATATTACTACCACGTACAAGCTACATTCCTTGTTGAGAATAGTATAACTGCACTAAAAAAACACTACAAATATTAGAATTTATTAGAAGGGGCAGAAAGGTGAGAAGAATGGCATAGAACATAATAGTTGCATGCTTCTACTAGTCTCGGCAAAACATTGTTTAAAACCTTCTTCATGTTCACCCATGACATGTCTTATTAGAGCTTTGTTTCTCAATTCTAAATATGTGAGAACGAAGTCAGCATAGAAACACATCATCATAAAGTAAAACCAATGCACAGTCAATCTGTTGAATCTCTATAAAGACATTGCAGTTCTTGTCTTGATGGCAATGTTTGCCAATAACATAACTTCTTTAAAAATAAGCAAATAACAGATGGCAGCGACAAACCAGCTGCATAATCTTCTCTCTGATCCTGTCACTTGGCCAATAAGCCCTTTTACATTGAAGCGCATGTACACCTTAGTGTTAACTGAACATTCAGCAACAAAAATAATCTACTATAAGTCTTAGCAACCAAGGTGTTTAGGGTCTAGAACGAAATGGATTCCGACACATGAAAGAAGATATAATACCTTTGTTTACATTTTGACCTCCAGGGCCACCAATTCTTGCAATACTCACAGCAAAATGATCTGGGAAGAGTTTTTAAGTATAAAGGAGAGGAAGAATTCAACATATAAAATCAGCACAACGCAGTCCACAAAGTCCAAAAAAACCCAGTTGATTTATATATGTAGCTAAAAACCCCATTGAAAAATAAGTACTTGCACAAAAGAAAAAGAAGAATCTTTCCAGCATTTCTCCTTGTCATTCGCAATCAGAAAGAATATTTAGTCGGCTAGTTCCCAGAGTGACTTGAAGACTGGGCTCATTAACGGCGGAGCTAGCTCGCTCTCCCTCTTCCTGGAGCTGTCGCATTTGCGAGAGGCTGGGCCTCGGCGTTGGATGCCGCGCAACCAATCCGGCTGAAACTTATTCCTCGGATGGTCGTCTTACAGGAACCGGCAGAAGCCCACGAGCCGAAGATGATAAAGAATTGTTAGATAGCAGTACCGTATGATGGAGGATTTGTTATTTCCGAATCATGTTCGCGCTTTTCCTAATGACAGCCATTTTGGTTCTGCGAGAATTTGAAAATCTAAAATCAGAATTACCAGAATAGAGGTGGAGCTTTTTGTCTTCTAACTTTGAGCTTTACAGTTTCTGGTTGTTCAAAAAGCTTCGGCGATTCTTCTCGTTTGGCTTGTGAAATTGAGACTTTGGGTTTTGGAGCAGGCTTCTTCCGATTTCTTTGTTTCATGTGACGAGGCACGTAGCACATTGTCTTTTAATCGGATTACGCGATTGGCCAAGGCTGTCCGTCCTGTTCTGACCATGTTCGCTTGGCCAATGGTCGACTCGACTCCTTCAATTGCAATACTATCCTAGAAATGGAATAATCCCCTCCACGTAGTAATGAAGGGAAAAGAAGTAAAGCTAAACACCAGTGGGATATAACATAAGAAACCATCCACAAGAGAACCATGCCGGAACATTAAAATTCATCAGAAAGTGAACAAAAGCATAAGAAAGAAACCATTAGATGGGCAATCATCTCAAATTGCAAGTTTTACGTACTGAAAACTCGAGATTATAATGTGATAATACGTGGAACTTAAAAGGGCATCATTTGCAGAAATTGTCTAAAAGCTCTCTGCATTAACCACCTCAAAAGCAAATGGTCTGACACAACAGACACATTATAAAATATGCAACTAAAGAGCGGAAAACTAAAGGGCAAACAAATGCCTTAAACTAGAAAAGATGGCTATAGCCTAACACAGGCAATAACCTCTTCTCCACATGATCTACTCGTGCCTTTCAACTTAGTCCCTTCGCTTCCCTTGTGAGTGAGAACTCTTATCTTTAAAATCTCTTGAACCTTTAGCCCTCATAGAATGCTGGTTGCTAGAGAGGCCTGCCCTGTCTCTGGCATCCAGCATCACTCTCCCTGACTGTTGAGAACGCTCGGTAGAAGGAAGTGCCCACCCTCCCCGACCAGCCTGCCCATTCTCACTGCGACCAGTCCCTAAGACAAAAATTGCAGCAACAAATATGATTATATCTTATAAGGTGTAAAAAAGCATTGCCAAAGAGTTTTGCTACTACTCAGGTACTCCCCATACTAACACTATCCTCAGACATCCACTATTGACATACGCTCTGAAGCAGTTAAAACTGGTTTTATGCAAAAGCATGTTTCAAAATCACACATTAATATGGGGTGTGGCTGAAACAATCACATAGATAAAAAGAGGAAGCACAGTCTTACTACCATGAAAAAAGCATATTTAAAGTGTACTAAGACAAATCTTACCTATAGCATCATGGCCATTCAAACTCCCAGACCAGCCAGGCAAATGCTTTCTGGCATTTCCATTCCATGCTTCTTCAAAACCAGCAAGCTTATCTGGAAGACTCACCAATTTAAAACATTTACTTTAACTGCCATGGACAAGTTAATATACCTCTATCAACAAGTATAACATAGCACACTGTACATAAAACATGTGCTTACCTTCATTCAAATTGTGCAAGGTCTGCATTGTATCCACCCTACCATCTGAACCCAGCTTTCTCAGAACTGAATGACCCTACAGCAAAAGTTCTTATCATAAATACACTCTACAAGCACACTTACAGCCAATAACATAACCCAAAGTCAAAATTTAGATTGACCAAGTGAAACAAGATTTGAAAGGTACCTTGTCATGAAGCCCCCTAGAAACCAAGTGGCTTGCTTGACCTGTGGCTGTGTCAGCTTCTTTGCTTTCTTCAAAGATAACCTATTCCACAACAGTGGAATGTGAGATACAGAAAAAACAAGGGCTTAGTAATGAACATATCTTTAAACATCAGAAGTACTTACTCCATCACTTCCAGTCCTCCTTGTTTTGGATGAAGTATAGTAAGCTCCATTAGCACCACCATAAGTGACAGCGGAGCTCTGAAATGTAAAGCTACGAGTTTGAGGCTGTTGCTGCTGTCGCTGATATGAACTATTGTAACCATTCATATACTGCAAATGCCTGTTCCTTCTCTCAGACTGTCCAGCTACATCATCTGGAACCTCAACATAAGGTTCATCATCAGACCTACCATGCTTTCTAGGATTATCTTTCATCTCTTTATCTGCTTCTTCTTTTTCATCATCAGAATTTAGTTCTTGAATAATCAGGCCCCTTGGTCTCTTTGGCTCCGGGGCCTGATGCTCAATAAATCCAGTAGGATGCATATCCGGAAAAGGACTCTGGCCGGGGCCAAAGAAGCTTGATTCAAACATGCTTCCAAAAGGGCGTGTGAAGAAAGGGTCATCAAAAGGGTCCCTTCCTCCAAAGAAATTGGAGAGCAAACTTCTAGGACCACCAAATCCTCCAAGGCCCCCAAAACCACCAAAAGGATCGCCACCAAAATCATAGAAAGGATCCCTTCCACCCCTGCCTCCCTGCATTTTCCGACACCCTCTAAACTCTGAAAAGAAAATAGCCATAAAATATATATTTTTAGAACAACAAAAAAGAAAGACACTTTTTAATAACTTAGATAACATAAATCATTCAAATTTAGTAAATTTCCCAATCGATTATATAACAAATAAAGCAACAGAAGCAATTCAACTCCAAGTTGGCAAATTTTACATATATTTAAATAGAAAAACAAAAAAAAAAAAGCTATCGTATCACATTTCAGAAGCGAAAGTCAATCTAAACCCTAAAACCAAAAGTTTGAAGGAACATTTTCACCTAAAACATCAATCAAAGACAATAAATGCTTAAAATTGAGTAAAGCGGATTTTTTTAAAGAAGAATTTTGTAAGAAATAATGGCGGAAACAGAGATTTTATAGAACGTGATCAGCGTAACATATACGCTAATTTTCAATAAAAATTAAACCCTAAAAAATTGAGAGATGAGATTACCTTGGAAAGGAGGGGAAATTGAGACAAATTATGGGAGGATCGAAACCCTAAATACTCTGATGATTGATCGTAATGAGGCTTGGGGTTATCTTCAGGTGCCTCTCTTTTTTTCTTTTTTTTTTGAGATATTTTTTAATTTCAGGTGCCTCTTCTTTTTATTTATTTGGGATGAGAAAGAGAAACCGCCTAATCTATTTTCCAAGAAAGAGAATGGAAAGTTCTAGTACGTGCGAGAGTTGTCCGGACTAATCGATACTTCAATGCGCACCGGTAAATCTATTTTTTATTATTTATCCTTTATTTAAGTTATTTTTATTTTTATTAAAAACTAAAAATACCAATCGGAGTTTAAAAAATTTTATTTAAGTATTCGATTGGTTAACAAGAAATCCAAAATATTTTTCAAGATTTATATTATTTATTATATATTAAATAGTACAGTTTTTTATTAATATTTTTGCTATTAACCTTGTTACAGCTAAAAATAAAAGTACAAATGACTTGTGTCGTGTGACTGCCAAAAATTTATGAAAAAAAGATTAATTTTGGTTGAAAACAAACATAATTTTCATCATTTTAGTAAGGTTTGTAAATCATTTAGACTTCGCAAAAAATAAGGATAAAAAATTTATTAATTCAATGATTAAATTTTATAATCACTTTTTTACTTTGTAATAATCATTAAATTAATAATTTTTTCATTCTTTTCCTTTTTTATCTTTCTTGTAAGATAAAGAATATTTCAAATCAAACCAACCATGGGGGAAAAAAAATACTTAAGAACGTTCCAATTATTACAATAATTAAAATAATGATAAAGATATGAAGAACAAGAATACAAGCTCAAATGATTACATGGCAAGAGGGGAAAGCAATGAAAAATGTTGGGGTCGCATTGGCAGGTCTCAAACATTTTTAAGAAACAATAACCACTGCATCAAATAAGAACCAATGTTATCACTTACGAGGATACAATATGTACATAAGATGCAACCCAGGTTCTTATGAGTGGTAGAAACTTGAAAGCTTGATTTGTCAACCCTAGTTAATGCTGCAGGGGTGGCTCCCAGTCGGGCCTTGTTGGATATTCGAAACCCTGAAGGAATGGCATCCGTCTTAAATCATTCTCTGAATAGGCTGGGATGAACCAGAACTTCTTTTCTGTTCCAAACACCTGACAGAAAAAGCTAAATATGTCTATCATGATTAACAATGAAATTCATATGCGCAGGATGCATATATTAAATTCATACCTTACATTGTTTGCTGAATCACTTGAGGTAAAGTTTTCACTAGGAATCTATATACTCAAGTAAACTTGAGGACATATCGAAATTTTAAAAGTTAAGCATAAGTCCTTGAATTTGATTGATGCCAGCAGTCTTTTAACTAGACTCCATGGTAGCAATGACAGGATATGCCTTTATGCAGCTTGGAAATTTATAATTTTCATTCTCCGAACAGTGTCGCCTGGTAGCTTAATGAAAGCTTAAAGAGTGAAGGAATGTATAAACCCATAAGCATACAGGGTATGGACGAGCAATTGTAAAAGTAAAACAGCCAGAAGAAGAAAGATCAGGTATATTTCCAATCTTTGATATGCTCCATCGAGCGGGAAACAGAGCAATTTGAGGAAGTTTGTTGAAAACACAAGAAACAAACATACATACTTTTGAACCTCAAGGTATACAACCATGCAGTTATCTGCAGAAGTCAAATTTTGAAACAAATGTTGAAAATCAAAGAATCAATTCAATCAGATCTTTTAGTGCTCTAGCAGCCACATGGCATTTATATTTTTAGGTTCTCCTATACCCTTTTCTTTGCAAAGTTTATTCAATGCTTATCATCTTATAAAATAGACAAGTGCCCAGAAAGACATAAAGAGATGGATTGAGACATGCACACAATGGATACTTATCAAAGCCAAAGGGGAGGGTTTGGCAAGAAAGAAAAAAGAGGTAACCTGTTCAAAATTTTTCTTCCAACCAAGGTCATAACGCCACTTAGGTGTGATTTTCTTCTCATATGCCTGAAAATAAGATTGAGCAAAGCAAAAATGTGAACTTTACTAATTATGTGGGCAACAAGGGAAACACAATTATGCAAGACGTTACCTCAATAGTGGTGGTATTGGCTCTCACCAATGTTATGTGCATAATCAGAAAGCCCAGAACACTTAGGGCAAATGCTATGTTAAACACTGAAAGATTTAGATGAGAATTAGTTAAAATAATGACAACCAATTAGATGAAAGAAACTAACCTCTAGAAACTTACCAAATGCAATAAAGGTAGCAGCAAGTGTTCCTGGTGTTTCAGCTATCTCACTATCGTTAAAAAATTCCATAAAAACCCACAATAATGATAAACTGACAAGTGTTGCGCCAAGAAATGTGTAAAACTGCATCAAATTTAAGCAAAACAAAATACAATTATTTTTTTCCCTTTTGGTAGATGCAAGCTAGTCATATTTCAAACAGTCATATCCACTTGCCATAGGAATCTGTTTAATAGGATAATAACTAACATAAGACTCAATATGCCAAGAGAAACTGCCAATAGAAAATAGGCTGTAGCAGGAAAAGTATTGTCTGAAAGTGCAAAATGTTAAAAGCTCTAAAGGACCATATAAATAACTATGACGACTGGTCAAGTAAAATTTTTAATCCAAGCTCACATATTATCCCAGTAAAAGCATACGAAGCTCTGAATTTTGGAATTCTACATAGAATACCATCTTTATTATTGGAGGGTGTGTTAGTTAATGCTGTGTCTGAGAGAGAGAGAGAGAGAGAGAGAACTCATAATGGTTTCAAAGTAAGTTTCATCTTTGAGTATAAAAAACATTACAATCATAGTTCTATGAACTTTTCTACCACTCTTTCTCGTTATACTCTCACATCATACCATTTATAAATTATGAGTATGGTGGGCAACGAAAGTCATGCAATTGCTCAATAGAAGGATGATATGATATTCAATAGTCACTGAAGAAGACAACTTTCATCATACTGAGGTTCATATGTAAATTAATGAACTATGGACAATGTCAGGAGACAACGTTCAGAAATAAGCATTCATTCAGGGTGGCAGCTTCCCTAGACTGGCAAGGTAAAACTGATCAAGGTAGTATAATGATATCATCTTCTTTGAGAAATAAAATACTAATTTTATAAGCAACAAGTTAGGGGCTTATAAGGCTTAAAGCTTCAATCAATGGGAATTACAGTGGAGAACAATCATATTTTGGCTTCTAGTTTTTTGGTTTGTAAGTAGCAACTTAGCAGGCTGCTAATGATTAACGAAGAATAATCTATTATGCGTCTAACAACATGAAGAGAAGACCATACTTGGTGCATCCTAAGTTCAGCCACTCATTTGTTTTCTCTTTTGCACCTTTGCATCTAATGTTGTGGGCGGCTTGTTCAACATACGTATTGACAGTCACCATAACGTCCTAGACTACATGTTGAATGAATGCATCAAGTGAAAACAGGTTTTCAGCTCTAGTACTAAGAAAGGAAATTTTAGGCATTAGAATATGAAAATAATTACATCACAATCTTTTGACTAATCAACAAACCAAAAAGGCTAATAACGATAAACATGAATCCACTTCCATTCCAACAGTGAAAGCATCAGCCTAATTAAGTGCCAAATAAATGAGAGCATGCAGCTAGGAGACTTGAAATTGATGAATTAAACATACCAAGAAAAGAAGGAAATACTTGTAGTTCAATGCCCCAACACAGTTGACGACCCAAACACAATGATGGTCCATTTTTAATATACATCTCTTACCTGAAATCAATTAATAAACCAGGTTCTTTCACTGAAGATGGCAAAACAACAAAGATCCAACAGAAGAATTTATCTAGATTACTCACAAACAGAGCAGTGATGGGTGCGAGGTGGCTTAAATTGATTGCACTTCTGACAGAAACGTATGCCTTGGTTTTTGGAATCACCAGGTATAGCTGACTGAGTTGAACCTAATTCTGCACTTCCATAACTTGAACCTACCAAAGGATCAGCATCACCTTTCTCCTCATCCCTGAGAGGCCTCCAATTTGGTGGAACACCACCCGGATCCGTTAGAACAACAGAAGAGTAACTCCATAATACCATAAACAGCTGAAAAACCGGGTAAACTTAATTCAAAATGCAGCAATGCCATCTAATAAAACTAATTATAAATGAAAACAAGGAAAACAGACCATAAATATTATGACAGCTAATTCCAAGTTTCATTCCTTTTTCCCTTCAGGTTCAGCAAAACCCCACTAAGCTAAACCTCATAAAGTCACTTAAATTCACTCACATCTTTATTAAAAACCAAAAAAAAAAAAAAAAAAATCACAATAATTAAGTTCTCATATGTCAGTTATCATTCCAAAATAACCTGCATTTGGTCACCTATGAAAACTAAAGCTGGAACTAAAATCTTTTGCCTTCATGTCCAGCAAAACCCATAATAAGCAAATTCAACTAATTGAACCTCATAAAATCACTTAAATTCACTCCCTGTTATCATCAAATATCCTACATTTCATCAACAACCAAAAAAAGCAACAGCTAAAGCTAAAATCTTTGTTCCCCAGAGAACCATTACCGACACAAATAAATCAAAAAGAAGAGAGCAAAAGAAGAACAGGGTATACCAGAAAATGAAACAAGAAGAGAACTAGAATAGCAGAAAGCATATCAAAGCCTCCAAGAAAGAGACTTGGGCCATAATGAGCAACGACCACTGCATAATAAGTTACCCCAATAATCCCAAGAACGAAAACGATCATAATTGAACCCAAGGCACGTAGTGCCGTACAGAATTTGAAAACATTCCATGCCATAATAATTTTTGTATAGTTTGTAAAACAAAGAAGAAAATTTGAGAGGAAATATGGAATTCCGATGAGAAAAGGAATTCCGTTCCCCCTGACCCTGAATATGGGTAAATAATGAATATGATGCAGTTGATATTTCTAATGCTTGATTTGGGTTGGAACTTGGAACCTAGGAAATTTGTTTGCCCAAAGGTTTTTCCTGATAAGGAAAGCGACACACCATAATCAATGAACATATAATACAATAATAAGTTACTAAATTAAGGTGTATAAGAATATGAAATATGAATAAATACTATAATTTCTTTCAACACGTTTCTGGGTGAAACCCAGAAAGAGTTTGTGGTGATGGGCCAAGCTTTTTTCTAAGCGGACCGGCACTGGGAGCAATGAAAACGGTGCAGATTGGTGGGGCTTGGTTTCAGTTTCGTACCGGGCCTGGCCTAAGCCGGCCGTGAGCCACGTTTAATCAAAACCTGGCTTAAAACCAGGCATCCCATCTGCCATCTACCTTCTTAAAGGATTGGGAAGATTGTTTGATATTGTTTAACATGTACATTTATTTATTAAGTAAAAGGTAAGTAGACAAGTGTGTTTGAATGCAAATGCATTACTTTTATCTTATAGTAACAACTTTTGTCATATATATTCCCCAAATAAAAGAAAAAGAATTTTTTTCTACCAATTTTGTTTGAAAAAAATTAAAAATTGCAATGGATATCGTATGCATGAGCATCTAACATTATCCGACAGATTTAAATAAGATTAGGATACTCTACAGACGGGTTCGGGTTTTAATATGGTATTAATAAAGTATTGTTAATTGGGTTTGTAGAATTTATTATTGTCTTTGACAATCAGGTTCGAATATCAATATTCAATCCATTGTCATTTCCAAATAAAATAGATTAAAAATTAACTATTTAATTGTTAAAAAAATAATTGTTTAAATAAATTAATCATAAAAATATAATCGATCGAGTTTGAATTGATATAATATTAAGTTTAAATTTAAGCTTTGTTTTAAATTAAAAACTCAAAATTTAATTCGAATTCAATCGATTTTGTTTTAGTTCGAACTTGATTCAAGATAAAAATTAAATTATTTAAATTTATTCAATTAAGTTCAATCAATATATAAAAATAAGTTCGATTTTTATATTTCATAAAAATTTAATTATTTATATTCGAATTTGAGCTCGAATTTGAAATATTTTATTATTAAAATAATTAAATTATATTAAAATATAAAAAATTAATTAAATTCATGTGCTATTCAATTTAAATATAAAAATATTAAATTTTGATTTAATCAATAAATTAAATTATTTAAACTCAAATTTAATTTAATAATAATCGAATCAAACTTAAATTTTATTCAAATTAAATTTAAATAATTTATGAATATTAATATATTATAAATGCCATCGACATTATAAATGCCATCAAGACTTTTTGTAGGCATTTCATTTTCGTAATAACAATTGAATTTGTCAAATTAAGCAGGCGCACAGTATTGACTGCCAATTATCGGAACAAGATGCGGTATGAAATAACTTCACCGACACTAAATTTCTTTTCCAAGAGAATAAACTTTATTTAATTTTGTCGTTATTGTGTATATGGACACGTTCCAACCACATCTTAATTTCCTGGAAAAACACAAGTCATTTTTCTTTCCCCTGCGTTTTCAACAGATCATTTTTCCTAATATACAGAATGTATGAAAACTACATTCACTAATCGATGGATTTTGGATGGAATTGGTGGAAAAAATTCCCCTTTGTAACAGAATTGCCAACGACTTTTTACGAAAATTATTGATGGAATTAATTAAATTTCGAAGGAAATTCTACTGGCAAAGTTCAATCACATGGTTTTAACATTCCAATTCTAATTCTTTCTTTTCGACCCTTGATTGACATGAAGTATCCTAGTTGCTTCTACATTAAATGCAACGCCCCCTTTAGTCCAACCCATAGGCATTACACTATTACTATGACGTGAAAATTGCAATAAAAAAGCTGTGGTTGTGATCAATCTACTAAAATCTGTTGTGTTTAAGAGCAAACCCATTGTAAAAAAAAAAAAAAACACCTTTGCGGTTTGGTAGCAAGTACTTCAAGTCTTCAGCTTCGTGGTATTACGAGGCAAGTTATAGATTGATTTCATATATGATGTCCGATGGGTGCAACAAATTAAAGCTTAAGGGCAAAGCTCTTATTACATTAGTTCCCATAATGGCATGAAGTGCCTATCTTTATTTTGTCTCGTTCGAGAGAAATAGAAGACTTCATGGTCGCAGAGTCGACACTAACTCAGCCATTTTGAATAGAATCAAGGAATTGTATGGTTAGATACAGGCTTCTAGCATTAAGGAAAGATGGCAGGAGGTAGCATTAACAGGAGCATAATTGGGGATTAGAAGATGACAAATTTGTTTAGGGAACTGGTTTTATTTTTGCTGCTGTTTTTCTTAGTTCTTACTGGTTTTAAACCTGCAATACTCTGCTGTATACCCTGTTCACTTTGTAGAAAATTTCACGCCCTACCAATTCACAGGCCGAAAACGTATCAATCGGGCCAAACATAGGTAGCAAAAATCAGCTTCAGAGTTCAGTCCCTGTGCAGTGGAAGACAAATGTTGACACGTACACGTGAGCCCATACAAAAGACATAAACAGGGGACACATCACCCAAGTCAGCGCTCCAAACTGTGCTGGCAGCTGCCCTGTCCTTGGCCTAGATAACCAGCCAAGGGACCACTCTCTCTCTTACCCCATTGCTCCATTTATTACCCTCACATGCAAGCCTGATCAGGTCCACGGGGGAGACCCTGGTTAGTAGATTTCAGGGCCACCCTTGGAGAGATTTATCTGTGGAATCAATTAATGCTACTAGTGGAAGATTTGCAAAACGGGAGATGGGGAGTTTAAGAGGGTCTTAAATGTGACAACTTATACAGAAGGATTGTAATAAATGTTTTCGGTTGATTACTGGAAATCGACTGTGTTAGACTTTTTCGATAAATTTGAGAAGATTACATTCCCATTTGCCTATATTATTTTTTTGATGTCAGTCCCACATTGCGAAGTTTCCCTCTTTACCATAAACTGTTCTCGAGTCGTTTTTTTCCTGTTTCTTTCCCAGAAAACAAATTAGATTGCACACAGTCTTTGGTCTCGATCATCATGGTATTTTTAGGCTGTTCTTTCTTTAGTTTCCCTAGCAGATGTTAATAGAAATTTGATCAAAAGAAAGGGCGTTGATGATCAACCAGTTGGTGCCTGATTTAACAAAAGTACCATAACATCAGCAAAAGTACTACTGCTATATATTGACTGACCAGTAACTGCAAGAAAATAGAAGAAACACCAGCATTCTCATTGAATCAATTTGCATTCAAATTTCAAGTTGACCCTCCTTTGATATATTGTTGAATGTAAATTATAAATGAATCCTGACAAACAGTTTTAGTTAACATTTAAATTACATTGCATAATAAATTTCATTTTTATCAACAATCGTGTGATATATGAAAAAAATATTAAATTTAATTTTAATTATGTCTTCAATATAAAAAAAAATTTCATTTCTTTTCACAAAAGTGCCTACTTTATTGAGGGAAAAAAGAAAAAGTTAAAACTTTAATTAAATCAGATAGCATCTTGATCTCAAATCCCGATCTTTCACCAACTCCAACTACTTTGAGTTGAGTTTTAACTACCATCGTGCCAACTGCCCTTGTATATATATGTATTCCATTTTTATGATCTTTCTTGTTCTACAATTACTGTTACGACCGAAATCGGAATGCCCATTTTTTAAGGTTAAAGGAAGAAACTGGAATGGACCTGCCACGCCCTCACCAACCAGTATTGTTGAAGGTTGAGTTGAGTAGAGTAATGGCCAATAAACTATTGAATATGAAAAATTTTAGCTAAACGCCACAGTGCACCGGTCTCCAAGAAAAGCCCTAAAAAGGCTAAATCTTGCATATGCCTGCCCTTCAGTTTATCTGTGAGTAATTCTATTTGCATTCCCAACTTTTTTCTTAATACGCTTAAAAAAATTTATATTACAATTTTATTTTTTAGTAAAATTATTTAAATATCTATTAGTCAATTATTTCTTCATCTTTCACATTCCTTTCCAAAAATAAATTTTCAAAAACTTTTAAGGAGGAATTTGATTTTGGAGAATCCATATATTTTCCTTTAGAATCTTATTGGTGAATATTTGATTTCAACATTTGATTTAAGATAATTTGATTTCAAAAAAAAATGATAAATTTTCAATAGTACCTAAAGTATCAAAATAAAAAATTCATCTTTACCTATGATATTTTAAGATTTTGAAAAAAAAAATTACGTTATTTTTAAATTTATTTTGAATAAAAAATTATGAAATAATCGTTATCATTTTGAATTATATATTTAGAAGTGACTGCAAGTCAATTGTATTTCTACTGCTAATTTTTTTTTTATATTACAATTAATGGCGTTTGATGTGCAAAATACCTTAAATAATCATGTTCAATTTTTTTAATATTATTTAAGACGTTTTTTAGTAAAAAACATCCAATATTATTTAAGATATTTTTTGTCAAAAAACGCTTTAAATAATATTCTACAAAAAAATTGAATAAGATTATTTAAGACATTTTTCTAAAAAAATTGATCAGCATTATTTAAGATGTTTTCTGATAAAAATGACTTAAATAATCTCTAAAAAAATGTTTATAAATAATCCTCAAAAATAAGTACTGAAGGAAGGGATCGAACCTATAACTTTATCATTAATAGCCAAATAAGCAACTCTAAATTTTTTATATTTTATTTCTTAAATCTTATAAATAATGAAATAGATTATTTAAGACTTTTTAAAGGGTATTATTTAATATGTTTTTAATAAAAAAATACTTTAAATAACGTCATTTAAAAACATTAAAATGCTAGAGGGAATAATCGAACTTACAACCTTGTAACTAATAATCATTTGCTCTAACTAACAAAGCTACTTCAGTTATTTTATATTTTATCTCTTAAATCATATAAATAATAAAAATAATTATTTAAAGCTTTTTCTTTATAAAAAACACCTTAAATAATACATTTCAAAAAATTTAAAGATTATTTAAAACGTTTTTTGAAAAAATACATTAAATAATCTTCTCATATTTTTTAAATGTTATTTATTTAAGGTATTTTTAGACAATAAATGCCTTAAATAATCTCATTTTAAAAAATAAAAAAAAATTATTTAATGCGTTTCTCAATCAAAAATACCTTAAATAATCTTTAAAATTTTTTATTAATAATATTTTATAAATAAAAATAGTAAAATATTTGTCTTCTTTTATTGTTAAAGGCATCATTTGTCATTTGAGTATTTATTATTAATAAAAGCTAATAAAAAATTATCATTATGTATGTTAAAAAAATTATGATAATTATTCAAAAATTAATATATATGGATTCTCAAAACAAAACAAGTGAATTTGAATACAAGATATTCTCAAAATGAAAAGAAAACTCTGAGTATTATATTTTTTTAAAGATCACACTTTCTCTCAAAATATAAGAATTCGTGAATCAAATGCCCCTAAAAGTTTTTTAAAATATTTTAATATTTATTTTCGAAAACTTTTAAAAACTTTCAAAATTTTATTTTCAAAAATTTCAAATTATATTCAAATATTTTAACATAAAATTTTATGAAATTAAATATGAAATCAAACGAAAAAAAAAACCAATTATTTTTAATTTTATGCTTTTTAAATTTAAAATGATAAAATTTGACTTAATTTGACCTAAAGTAATTTAAGATTTTCAATTGAGAAGAAAGAGAAAAGGAAGATAGGATATGAAAGAAAGTGGGATGAGGTGTATTGATTTTTTAGATAAAAATGTGTTTCTTGTGTGGCGTGTGTTTAATAAAAAATTAAAAGTTAAAAGTATGAGGTACGTTGAATAATTATTAAGGTGCAAGTAATAACACTTTTATTTTGCGTTTTTCCTGGGCTAACATGGAATTAATTTTGTTACATCATTAAATTATAAAAATTAAAAATTAAAGTCTTAATACAATTAATTATTATCAATATTTAAATTTAAAATGCATTTCATATTTATTATTAATTAATCAATTAATTTAATTAATTAACAAAATCCAACAACCCAATTAAAATGCAGCAAACCAATTTCAATCTTGAAATTTGCCGTGTCAAACCCCCAAACCCTCTCTTAATATATATTTGATTATTTAAACTTAATTTTTAAAATTTATAATATTTGAATTGATTTTAGAAAAATGCTTAAAATAATATGATTATTGGCTTTGTCGATTATAAGAAAAATAAAAAATAAAAATATTTTTTTTAAACAGTAGTATTTTAATTATCCTTAATCCAACTCTTTCTTCAATATACTATATAATTTTAATGCTTTGTTCTTTAAAAAAAAAAAACTTTCTTTTTTCTCATTTACTTTACAAAATAAAAAATAACAAAAGTCATAATCAAACAAGAAAAAAACAATACATAGTTAGAAATATCCCTTGAGCTTATCCATGATCCATTGAGAGAAATCTAGTGGCTAATAATTTTGCCGCATGTCCTTGTAATAATTAATAATAACCAATAAGAACAAAGTCATTAGTTAAGAGTTTTAATCAAAAAATCGAGAAGAACCTTTGAGAAAAAAACAAAAAAGATTCAAGTTAGGAAACAGTCAACCGGGTTTGATTTTGAGACCATGATTGGTGTGCCATTTTAAATTTTCAGTAGCTGCTGCATGATTACAAGTAAGCATAAATATTGGTATGATGATGTTAGCTATATTATTTTATTATTGGTTAAGAAAATAAATTCAATTCATTGCATTTATCTACATACTGAAATCAAATCTCTCCCTTTTCTCTGATTCCTTTCATTCAAGTGGGAATTTAGTCGAATATATTCTATTAAAATTTTATAGTTTCTAATGAAATTATAAGTTCATGTAAAAATTATAATTTTTAATCAAATATTACATTCAAATAAATAAATTAATTAATAAATCAATACATAATAAAACAAATTCAATTTAAAATTAAATTAAATCATACACGATGAAGCTTAAATTCCAAGTTTCACAAACTCTTTTTGCTACTAAATTAAAGTTTCATTGATATAATTTTATAATTTTTATTTGAAATTAATATAATCAAATATAATAATCATATGATCAATTGATAAAGTATTATATTTTTAATTTTAACTATTAAAATTTGATTTTTAATAATATTAAATAAAAACCGATCATAAATACCTTTCATTATTTGGTGCATGTTGATCATAGCTATCAATGCCATATATTAATAAATGCAACAAGATTTCAACTATTGAATTGGTCATGCGACTAGACTCTTAGCATATATGTCCATATAATTCCCTTCTTGTTTTGATCATTGTCTTTCAGTCAGTGATCTGCCATCTTAGTAAAGCCTTTCCCTAAATCGAGAATAAATGTTGATTAGATTGATAGATAGTAATAGCATATCTAAGTTTGCGAGAATCCTTTAATCATAAAGGATGTCTAAATTCGCGAAGATTTTATCTAACGCTAGTGATATTTTCATTAGAAAATTATTAAATTAATGCCAGTAAATTTCGGATTTTTAGTTTCGGAAGAATGGGACCATATAGAAGAATATTAAATTTTTTAATCATATATAGTTGCTTTTTTTTTTTTAATAATATTTATACTTTTTTCAATCACATTAAAAGTGGTATCTGACTGGGCTCAAGGGCCCCACGGATAGCGATATTCATGCACAAAAATCTAACTCAAACAATGCACCGTCCATTTCCTTTGACTGAGCATGGTAACGTCTCTCCTTCTTTACACCTCTGATTCACAACCATGATTACAACACGACGAGAAATCAAACCCCTCTCGAAGATGAAAGCAAACGATAAATCAGAGTGCAGAGTGTGAAAAAAACAACACCAAAAAGCTCATCCCAATTTTCATAATTCTGAATTCTTAAGATAATAATAGTTGTAATAAATTAACTTCAAAAAAAAGTTCCCATGTATTTGGATTGTGTCTCTCATAGTCGTATATATCAGTAAAAACCAAATGAAAGAGACCAAACCCAATGAACATGGCTCCTTCTTCTTCTCCTTCTTCCTCGAAATCCCTTCCTCCTCCTCCTCCTCCACCTCACCAATCCCCTCCTTTCACTCCTGTAAGTTCCTTTATAATTCTGTTTATTTTTTTTCCTTTTGTTTCCCGAGAATCAAAATGATATAACCATAGATAAAATGGGTTTTTTTTTTTTGGGGGGGGGGGGGGGGGGGAGGGGAGGGGGATTTTTAAAGCTTCCTATGTTTGGCTGATGAAAAAGTTGCTTTCTTTTGCTGTTTCTTTGCTTTGTCGAACAGATTCAAGAATGTGAAAGGGAGGAACAAGAAGATGCTACCCCAAGTGTAAGCACGGACAAAGGGGTGACGCCAAGGCATCTCCCAACGCCCCTTCATGACAAAAACATTGGAAAAGCCAAATCCAGGAAACGTCAGGAATCTGGGGAAAATGTTGGTGGAGATGATTCAGTTTCTTGCAACAAGTGTAGGCCACACTCTAGGGAGAAGATCTCCGTGGTTCCTTTGGACAACAATGGAATTAACAAGCACTCCTTTCCTATGGCTAGTCCTAATGGGATTTTCAAGTCCATTTTCCATTCCTTAACAAGAAAGAGTCCAAAATCAACTGATATGTCTACGGCCAGGGAAGAGCAGTGGAAAATTGCTGTTGCTGAACTGTCAAGCAAGCTTATTCAAGCTACAAGAAATAGAGATGAAGCATTGCTTGAAGCTTCAAGGTTGAAATATTCCATGGCTGAGCTTGAGAAGAAGCTTAACAAGCTTGAAGTTTACTGTCACAATCTCAAGTCTGGTCTGGATGAATGTAACAGCAATTCTCCTTGCGGAATTGGTAAAGGTCATAATATTCATCAAGTGAAGAATCAAGATGAAGTTATTGGAGCTAATGAAAAAGTGATTCAACAATTCTTGGTCTCTGTCTCTGAAGCTAGGTCTTCAATCAGGCTTTTAAGTAGATCACTCACCATGCAATTAAGGCACATGGGTAGCAAAGTTTGTGAGAGAATAACTTTGCTTTTACAGCCTTATGATACGAAGATTTCTTACTCTAAGAACCCCAAAAGCCTCCTTCTTCACCTAGAAGCTTTGTTGAACAAGGCTTTCTTCGAAGATTTTGAGTCAATTGGGTTTCAAAAGAATGCAGTGAACCAAATATTGAACCCTATTGATCGGTGTGAAGCCAATTACGGGTCATTCAATGATTTACAAGGATTAACATGGGAGGAGGTTCTGAACAAGGGGACAAGGCATTTCAGTGAGGAGTTTAGCAAGTTTTGTGACAGGAAAATGAGTGAAATTGTGGCTATGTTGGGGTGGAACAGAGCTTGGCCTGAGCCATTGTTGCAAGCCTTTTTTGGTGCATCAAAGAGTGTGTGGTTGGTGCACCTTTTGGCCAACTCGGTGCACCCTGGGTTGCCAATCTTCAGGGTGGATAACGGGGCGAGGTTTGATTCAGTATACATGGAGGATATGGGTGGAGAAAGAGCCAGAAAATTGGTTCCAAGCATGGTTCGGATCATGATCACACCAGGGTTCTATGTTTATGGCAATGTGGTCAAGTGCAAGGTTATTTGCCGGTACTACAACAATCTGGATAGTAGTTTAATTGATAAGGGCTTAACCCCATCTCCTTAATTATTGTTTAAATTTAATTAGGTTAAGTTAAATGTTGAAATCCCTTTGATTACTTTTGCACTTTGTAATATTTTGGTGCTAGTTTATATGTGATAAATGGTTGTTGATTAAGAATGCTTTTGAGCTTTTGGAGGATAAATATTTTTCCCCACGCAATTAGGGAAAATTAAATAAAATTTTTTAGATGAAGTTCCTGAAAATTTTTAATACAAATAGAATTAATTAAAATTTTAATAAAAAAAATCCAATAGAGTTTAATAAAAAAATCAATAATATGTAAAAAAAAGTTACTGAAAATTCTATTTATGATTCAATATTCATTTTTAGTTGAGAACTTCATAAACTTTATCTAAATTTTTCCCGAACAATTAAGGGTAGGGGTTCTTTAATTGAAGTAAGGAATTGGCATTTTCTTGTTCTGTTTTTATTCTTTGTATTATCTGTTTTTAACCACTTTTCCTCGAGAAATATATTTTAGTGGGACTTGGCTATGTGGATAGAATTATCTCCAGAAAAAATGAAAACGAAAAAAGAAGAGTCTGAAAACTTATGTCACATGTAGAATGGATGGCTTGTGAAGGATTTTTGGATCTTCTACTGTTGTTTCATTATTATATGACCAATTTGTTGTCAAATTCCCTTCTCCCCATGGGATATGGTTACTGCCAATTTCCAGCCTTGTGCAAAACAAAAAAATTGGAAACAAAGAATATAGATATAAATATAGTAGTATAGAATTGAAACACAATTTAATCGGTACTCATAATTTTGACAGGATACTCTTAAGGTTCTGTTTAAGATTTTCCTAATCCCAAGAAAAGGAAAAAAAGAGAAAGAACTAATTATTAACTATTTAAGGTGGAGGTATCTTTCTGGGGGAAAAACCAGGAAAGGTGACCGAAAACAAAAGGGTGAAGGATAGGACAAAGGCAAAAAGAGTTGAGGACCACTTCACATTTGAGGAACATTGTCTTTAGTGATGCAAATGCAGAGCAAGAGAGTGGAGAGCAAAGAGTTTGATTATTCCCTGTTTTGGACATCTTTTGTTTGTTTTACTCTCTGGTTCTGACTTAGGGCTTTGTCCATCCTCCGGACCAATTTTGAATTATATCTTAACAGGGTCGAGCTCTGGGTATATTAGTTACAGTTCGTAACAAAAGAAATTGCAATTTAAAGATAAAAAAAGTTTCATAAAATTGAATCTCATAAATATTGATGTGGAGATTCATTTAGTTCATACAGCGTTCGAACTTGCAAATATGTTAAGAAAATGGGTCATAAATATTTTCTTCTTTTTTTTTTTTGTTAGCGGCCTTGAGGCTTTTATGGCAAACCCCTTGTTTAGACAGCATCTAATTTGGTGGTCTTAACACAAATGGGCCGGGCTTCTGCCTCCATTACAAGGGACTTTTTTCTTCTGACTCCATCCAGAGGCTTAGCTTGATAAGAATTTATAAGGAAAAAAGTACATACTTTTATGGTATATTTGATATGAAATATAGAAAATTTGACAAAAAAAATTTATTTTTTTCAACATTGCTTGGCATAATTGAAAAATGAGCGCAAGCAAAATAAAAATGATATTATTTTTATCATTGTAAGTTAAGATAAAAAGATAAATTTTAAAAATAATAGATAATTTTATAAATATAAGCACTTGATTCATATCTTTTTAATTTTTTCTTCTCCTATCTTTTTAACTTAGAATAATTTTTTTTTTTAATAATAAAAAAATAATATTTTCTATTTTCTTTACACACACAAAATTCTTTTTTTTTTTTTCATGCTCTATTCATTCTTTCACTTTGTTCACCTTACCAAACACATAAAATGAGAATCTCATACGTTCCTTTTTTGTTTCAAAAGTGGGCGATTGCCTATTGATAGAGGATGATTGAAAAAAACAAAAACAAATACAATCCAAGTGAAATTGCTGCCTCAGCTTATGAAAGCAACCAATGAGTCATAATCTATCAAGAAAAAAAATAATCTAAAGGATAATCTACACATCATAATTCAATATTTTAAATTTGAAAATATTGTAATTAGGTTAATAGCCAGTGACAACAGCTCCTAATTTTCACTATGTACCCAAAAATTAAATGTTTAATCATGTACCTCAATTTTCAATAAGTGTAGCAATTTATTCTATAATCTAACATCATTAGCAAAAATTAGCGACATAGCAGTCAACCCATAAAAATTTGACACATTACAAAATTTTACATGTGGATGCTACAATTATCACATAATTATTACGTGTTATAAATATTAAAAAAATAAAAATTAATTATTTTGAAATCTATAAAAAATTTTAAAACTTTTTAAAATTTGGATTTTTAATTCAAATTTTTAAATAAAAATTATATTTTTTTACAAAAAGTAAAAGAGAAAATTACGGTTGCCTCGAGACAGATCGTACTAATCTACTTTAGAGCAAATTCACCTACCAACAGGTTCTAGTCACCACTCCCACCACCCTTCCCTCTCCTCAATTTGCTTCTTTCTTTTTTTTTTTTTTATTGTTTCTATTTTTTTCCGTATTTTATTTTACAAAAATTAAATTTGTTTTTTAATCAAAATTTTTAAAATTTTTTTAAAGTTTTAATTTTATTTTTTATAATCGTCACATTTGACAATTATATGAGTGTACATAATCACGTGCCATTCATTTGTGTAATATTTATATACATGCTAAATTTTTATTGATATATGATCACATCAATATTTTTTGTTAACGTTATTAATTAATGGTTACAGTTACTTTATAGATTATTTTAAATTTTAAACATTTTATTATATTTTTTTAATATTTATATATAAAATATTATATATTGTTAATAAATTACATAATTATATTTAAAAAAATTTTTAAATATATTTTTAGATTAAGTATATTTGTTTTTTATGATTTTTAATTTTTAAAATTAATTTTTATAAGATATCATCATGTGAATTATTGATAATGTATAACATAAAATACATAAAATATAATTTTATTTTTAATTTAATCATCACGTTAGATATTTTTTAATAATTTAAATATGATATAGAACATTACTTTTTTAATCTTGATTTTCCATCCGGATTCCACAACTTTAGTTTACAAGTCGGCCTTGTAAAACTTGCATGAACCAATGAATTATATATGATATTATTTATTAATAAATTTAAATTAACTTTTCGTTTTTCTCCAATGGATTAATTTATCATCCCCAAAGGTTAGATTAGAACTACTAGCTGTGTTATTTTGGATTTGTGGTCCGCTATGCTCCTACGAATTTTTTATTAATGTTATGTACGATTATTGAATAATAATAAATATTTAATATAATATTTAAATTTTAAAAATTTTAAATATATTATTTAAATTATAAATTTATTAATTAATTTAATATTTATTTTTAATATAATTAATTTTAAATAATAACATATGTCGTATAAATAATTATTGAAATACAATTAATAAAATTTTAATGTAAATATTATATTAAAATTTTTTTAAATTTAAATATTATATTTATATTTTATTATAATTTAAAAATTATTTATAATATTAACTCATTTTCTTTTAAAGAACATTGTTCAACGCACAATCCAAATCGACAAATATTCTTACGCAAATCATCCCCAACAAAAAGAAGTTTCAAGAAAAATGTGAAAACTGATATGAGACTTAAATAAATAAAAATGTAGTATAAGTTTTTTTTTTTTAAATAAAAAATAAACAAAGGACCTTTTCCAATTCCAATTGGAGAATATCGTAAAACCCAAGAAATCAAGAAATTTCCGAACAAGGAAATTTAATTACGATCATTGTCATTTCGTCGATGAAGACGAGCGTGAAAGGTCATAAAAGTAACTTCATCTCAACGCCGACCAGGGTCCATTTTCTTTCCCAGGTCCGAGACGGAAACGTTAAATCTATACTTTTCTTCTGTTAGCCGTTTCAACGTTTGTCTACAGTTAACACGTCATCCGAAGTTTTTTTAAAAAAATGCATAAGATAATTACCCCTTTTTCTTAATAATAATTATTAACTTCTAATTGAAGAAAGAAAAAGAAAGGAAAAATAAAAGCTCCAGTTCCTGGCCCATCTCCTTTTCCCCTTCTTTTCTGCTTTGATTACTACACGATCTCCATCTCTCCGCCTCTCCTTTTGCTGGATCGGTTAATCGGAGGTTTATGGAAACGATGTCTTATTCGGATTCCGACTCATCCTCCGGCGCTGGCGACTACAAGAATTTCAGGCAAATCAGCCGTGAAAGTAACTCTTCTCTTCTCTCTTTGTTTAAAGTTTCTTGTCAATCCAGATAATCTTAAACTTTAATACTCTCCAATAATTTTGCTAATGATCTATCTTGTTGGACAATCGTTAGTAACTGTTTGAACTTAATCATGAAATTTCAACTGAATATTTTCGCAATTAGTTTTTCAGTTAAATTGATAATATTCTTAACGGCCAAATTGAGCGACTAACATTTTCAGACTTGACTGAAATTTATGCTTTTTAGGAAGTCTCTTATTATGATAAGAAATTTATTTAAAAAATAAAATGGAAAACGGATAAAACGATATTGTGATCTTTTTATAACTAATCTGCGTAACTGTCTTTTTTTGCATTTCAAAATTTTGATGTGTAAAACGCGAATAAAGAATGTGAATGACATTGATGTTCAAAGCTCAACAATGCTCTCTCAAAAAACCTAAAATTAGTAGATTGTGCTATATGCTACATTATTTGTATCTTCCCTTCGTTTCGGAGAACAATTGTAAGAATGATATTCCTGACAACTAGAAAAGAGACATTTTGTATGATCTATAGTTGATTATAGTGTATAAGAGGTTTTTTGTCGACTTTCTGCTATGAAATCATGCATAATAGGATGAGAAATATAAAGAAAAAAGAAGCTAAAAACAGTTTGAATTTATGCACTTTGTAGAAGTTTAGGGATGTTTTGACTAGTGTAATCAAGGTGTGCGCGTTTGCATTAAAGAGAATTGCTGGACTATGTGCATGTCACTATCCCGAAGTGAGATGCTTTTAGTGAGGCACACAGGTTTCTGCCTAGGCTTCATCTAATGTTTACTGTCCCTTTTATATGGAATTGGGTTTTATTTTTTATTATGATTTTGATGTATTCTTTAGGCATG